TATTCTGACAGATAGCCCACTCGCGAAGCTGCTGCGGCGAGAGAGACTCCTGCACACTCGGCTGCCGTTGACGTAGGACAGTGGTAGTGGCCATGGCAGGCAATGGCAGCTAGCAGCAGTAGCACAGGCGGCAGTAGCAGCGTAGCAGCACTCGAGGCAAGGCGGCGCTAGCGCGGGACAGGGTAGCGCGGGGCAGCACACGCGGGTGGCAGCAGCACCTAGGGCGGCAGCAGCAGGCGGCAGCACCTAGGGGGAGAGCACCTAGGGCAGCAGCAGGCGGCAGCACCTAGGGCGGCAGCAGCTAGGGCAGTAGCAGCAGGCGGCAGCACCTAGGGCAGCAGCAGGCGGTAGCTCCTAGGGCAGCAACACCTAGGGCGCGCTGGCGCTGTGGGCAGCAGGGCACGTTGGCGCGCTGGGCAGCAGGACGTACTGGCGCGCGGGCAGTGTACGGGCAGCGTGCGGGCAGCAGGCGGGCGGCGCGAGCAGCAGGCGGGCGGGCGCACTAGGAAGCGCGGCAACGCGCGGATTTGGGCAGGCAGCGCGGTAGCGCGCCGGGCAGGGCAGGGCAGCAGCGCGACGGCGTGCTGGTCAGGGCAGAAATGACGGGCCGGGCAGGGAAAAAAAACGACTGCCAGGCAGAGTGGAACGAATACGGTGGGCTCTAAAAAAAATCGGTTCTAACCGGGACCTGCTCTGAAACCATGTCAAGAAATGAATGATTGATTAGATGTGGTACAACTAGCAACCCTAACAAAGGGTTGCACCCCATAGGGAGTGACCCACTACAGCCTAACATAACTAACATGATATAAACATGTTTTGACGTAATGTGATTCACATTTGAAATGGCATTGGCAGTGTGTGCCATTAACTCCAATGGTCCTCCGATAAAAGTCCTCATGGAGAGTTGCTTCTTTCTTATGTTTTCCTCAGTGTCTTGGTGGATACAGTGTAACTCATGCTAGTTATCGGAACATTATGCGTACAGTGGGTATCTTGGCGACCTGACGCGACCATTAGGTTGGCGCATCAGGCATCCGCACAAAATGGGCACCTATGAGTGCTGTGTTCAGTGGTGAGTTGAGTGGTACGCAATGTTGTAAATCGGTGGGAAGTTAATTACCGTATCCAAACGTATTCAAACGCATTCAACAAGGCTATACGAACCCGCAAGCGCGATCTGCCCCCACCCCCAACCTCACTATTGCATCCTGCTTTCCGCAAGAACGCGCAGCCCCCACCGCCCTCTCCTTCCCCCACACACCCGCCCGCATCCATTCGCCATACGCACAACTCTTTCTCCCGCCATCCTTTCTGACCCACAACATGTTCCATCCTCTCATCGCTCTCTCCAGGGATTCCGGAACCCTCGTTATTGTCATGCTTCTCCTTCTGTTGACCTGGATCAGCCTTCGATTGGCTGGGGCGTCCTTGGAATTGCCGGAATCTTCTTTCATGCTGTGCTTGTCAATGGTCTCAAGAGAGAAACGTAAAGCGTTTCAGTGAGATGGATTAGTGTTCTAGCGTATCTATACGTACACATACAACGGTTGAGCAGGGTTTGTGTTACAGAAACAAGCTAATCTTGTGTCTAATTTAGTTAATTGATTTCCATGACTCCTTAGTAGCGAGACTGTTATCTTGTGTAGTAGGTTGTTGCTAACTGGCCGTATTGTTGGTCAGGAGCAAGCGTGCTTTCGATAGCGTAAGCTAATCCCTAGCACTCGGCGTGTTTTGTTGGAAATTTCACAACTTGATCGTAGTGGTGGTAAGCTAATCCCTGCATGGTGGTGTGTAGTCCAATTCAACGTCCGGGTTAGAGCTAGCTCGTTGGTCTTGGTCGCCTGAACAACGTGCCTTGTTACTGAATTGATAGCGAGGCCTGGTTACGTGCCATGTGAAGACATGGCGTCTTTTTAGTGTTAGCACCTGGCGGTGCGTGGCGCCGCAGTTTACTCCTCGTCATCTCTTAAGAACACTCTATCAGATTTAGATATGCTGCTGACCCCATTCTGCGACTTCAAGATCGCAATGTGGACATTATCTGGAACCTTCCGGATCGTTCTGGATCCAAGACGATAGCTCATTTCCGGTGAGAATCTCGTGGTTTAATAGCTCAATTTCAGCTCGTAATAAATCCGATTGAACTTAGTCCAGGTTTTATTGGCAGGCGAATCCGATTAACTCGTGAACGTTTGCGGGAATGCTACTTCGCAGTTTATTCTTACTGGACGGACTTGCATGATGGGAGTGTGGGATTGCATGACCGATGGAATGCAAAATACGATGATGGGGGTTTAGTCGTACGCCGTTTTTTATGGCTCAGATATTTACGTTGTGCTCATCGTCCTGACGTTGAGATTCGTGTCCTCTTAGGGCTTCGTAAGTTTTGACCGACTTCATATCTTGTCGCAATCTTTCAAGTCCGCGGATTTCCGAACCTAGCCCAGGCTTTCTTCTCAAAGCAGTTCGCCGCGGGTTAGATCTCCTACACTGCACGAGTTTCACGAGTTACGTCTCCTACATTGCACGAGTTTCGCGAGTTACGTCTCCTGCATTGCACGAGTTTCGCGAGTTACATCTCCTGCATTACACGAGTTTCGCGAGTTCTTAACCGCCGACACACACCCACATTCTCAATGCTTCCCCTTCTTCATATCCCGTCACGCACTTCCCTTCCTCCCCACACCCCCCCTCCCCCCACCAACTCCCCCCTCCTCCCGCCCTGCCTTCTCCTTCGCTTCCTCGCCTCGCGTCTAGATTCTTTTCTGTTCCAGACCTCCGGGAACTTCTGCAGTTTCTCGCTCTTCCAACAGAACATCTGCCGTGAAACTCCGTCACGAATCGTCTCCCAACGCACCCAACAAACCCCATCAACGGCTGTCAGGAAGCGATAGTAGGAGCCCTCCTGCGGATGGCCCCTCCCCCTCAGTCCCGGTTCAGCGGAAAGTCCGCGGAGAGGCCTAGCGAAAGCGGACTCACCGAGCGACGGAGTTACGAATACGACGGTAGTGGTAACGGCGGTCGCATGGCAGCCTTTAATGCCATTGACGAGCGGTCAGAAGGAAGCTTCAAGGAAGGAAGCGCCAAGGACCGGTTTAGGAGCGCGAAGAGCGTCAAACGGGGAGCTTCGCCAGCTAGGCCCCGGCAGGTGGATGGGATCATGCATGAGTACCAGATGCAGAACGCTGCTGCGCGCCGAGCCGAGGCCTCCAGCCATGCTAAGAAGGGAATCGGCGGCACCGTGCTATTCCTGGTGAGTAGAAAATAACACGTTTTGAGTCTGCTCGAAATGCACTAGGAGGAGGCAGGTGGATGGGATAATGCATGAGTACCAGATGCAGAACGCTGCTGCGCGCCGAGCCGAGGCCTCCAGCAACAGCAAGAAAGGAATCGGCGGCACCGTGCTGTTCCTGGTGAGTGCCAAACTCGTTTTGACCTGACGCTATTCGAAATGAAGCAGGAGGCAGTTTGGATAGGATCGACCAGTCATGCATGGCTCATGCGTACTACCAGGTTCAAAGCGCTGCTGAAAATCGTTCCGCGAGGTCATGAACTAAAAAATAAAAAAGCAACAGAGGCTCGTCCAACGCGCTGCTTCGTTTTGATAAATTCGTTCTTAAGCGGAGTTGTCGCGAGATGAGCCACCCTCATTTGAGTTCATTTAAACGACTCAAATCCCCTTTTTTGTCCTTCCCTTCTCGCTCTCCCCCTTTCCCCATCCCTTTTCCCATCATCTCCCCCTTCACCTCCCCTCTCCACTCCCCCTCCCCGTTCTCTTCCTTTCACCCCCGCTCCCCTCCTTCCCCTCCCTGGCTTTCTTCCTTCTACCCCCGCTCTCCTCCTTCCACCCCACGCTCTCCTCCTCTCCACCGTTTCTTCCACGGCAGATGTTGCTCGTCTGCACAGCAGCAGTAGGCTGGGGGGGTTACCAGTACAAGCAAGCCCTATCTCTCGAGGTAAGGCTGTGGTGACATTGTGATCCCTCAAAACATTGTTCCGCATGATTTTACCTCTCTCGAGAAACTCTTGAAACAAACATTCACGTGCTTTCTGGGGCGCCTCAGAAACTGTTTCCCCCTTTTCCCGCTACTCCTTCCGTCCTCCGTTTCTTATCCGTATTCCCAAGTTCCTACACTTAAAGCTGCAGTGCAAACGCTCACACGTTCTCGCCCCCCCCACCCGTCTCCTCCCCTAACTCCTCCCCGCCTTCCTCAAGCTCCGACTCTTGGAACTGCAGCGCAACACTTACACGTTCTTGCCCCCCACACCCGCCCCGCCCTTCCCCATCCGCCAACTCCCACCCCCCACTCCTTTCTCGAGCTCTGACTCTTGGAACTGCAGCGCAACACTCACACTTTCTTACCCTACCGCCCGCTTCCCCCTCCCCCTCCCCCTCCCCCCTCTCCCTCCGCTAACTCGCCCTTCTTCGAGCTCCGACTCTTGGATCTGCAGCGCAACACTCACACGTTCTTGCCCTACCGCTCACTCCTCCCGCCTCCCTTTTCTGCCGGCTCCCTTTTGTCCTGCCTCCCCAACCCCAGCTTCGGCTTTCGGAACTGCAGCGCAAACACACGCGCCTTGCTTCTAAACTGTCTGATGACGTTCCTGCTGGCATCAGCGGGATCACCCCCAGCAGCAGCAGCAGTAGCAGCAGCAGCAGATGTGAGGAAGGAGCGGATGGTGCAGTGGAGGGTACCTGCTCCCCTTTCCCCACAGAAGGCTCTGAAGGCGACAGCGCTGGGTGGAGAGAGGGGAGCAGGAGCGGGGAGGAGGGCGATCGCGAGCGTAGAAGCTCACAGGAGAAGGCAAAGGAGAAATCCAAGGAGCAGAAGGAGGAGGAAGAGGAGGAGGAGGTGAAGGAGGACCAGGAGCTATTCTGGCGCAGGGTGGCACTTCTAGCATCCATACTCTGCCTCGTACTCCCCATCTTCATCATCCGAAACATTGATGAAGTGGCCCAGCTCTTTGGAAGGCGGCCTAAAGCGACAGACGGGGCCATGACCGTCGCTGCCTCGTCTGCCTCCTCGTCTGCCCCTGCTGCTGCGGCGGCAGCTGCTGCTGCTGCTGGTGCTGGTGGTGCTTCAGTGGGGTCCCCTGGGTCGGATGAGGAGGTGTCGATGAGCAAGCGGCTGGCGTATAAGGTCGATGTGCTCTTCTCCATGCACTCCTGGGTCAAGGGCGCTGCTCTCCTCGCCGCCACTCTCCTCCTGTAAGTACCCAACCCCCGACCACACCTTCACCCCCCAGCCTCCTCTCAGCTCAGCTGCCCTTGCGGCTGGAGCAGACGAGGAGGTGTCGATGAGCAAAAGGATGGCGTATAAGGTCGATGTGCTCTTCTCCATGCACTCCTGGGTCAAGGGCGCTGCTCTCCTCGCTGCCACGCTGCTACTGCGAGTTTCTGTGAGCTAGGGGAACGCCCTCTCACTCTCCTTGTATCGCATCGATGTGCTCTTCTCCATGCACTCCTGGGTCAAGGGCACGGCTCTCCTCGCTGCCACGCTGCTACTGTGAGTACCTCAGAGTTCAATACTCCACCCACCCAGCCTCCACTCCTCTGCCCTTGCGGCTGGGGTGGATGAGGAGGTGGCGATGAGCAAGCGCCTGGCGTATCGCTGCCCTCCTCGCCGCCACGCTGCTCCTGTGAGTCCTTGGCCCTTTACTGGCTGTAATTTTCCCCCAAATCCCCATCGAGTTCTGGAGGGCTTGGTTGGAGGCTGGGAGGGTTGGGGTGGCTGGGAGAGCTTGGAGGGCTTATGGTAAGCCCTGTAAAACTCGTATACATTTACATGCATTTATGTATACATAAGTGGATGGATTTGGATGTAAAATCACTCTTAATCTGTCTTTTGCCCCTCTCTTCTTCCCCCCCTCCCGGTCCTACTCCATTCCCACACCAGCATCGCCCTGGGAGGCCTTGCCCTGTACGCCAGCAGCATTGCGCCTTCCCTAAATCTGTCCCCTGCCCCATCTGCTTCCCCCTTCCCCCCTTCCCACTCCATTCCCACACCAGTATCGCCCTGGGAGGCCTTGCTCTGTACGCCGTCGGATCAAAAGACCGGATGGACCTGGGTGACGCCACGTGGCGGGCGTGGTCCTACGTGGCAGACGCGGGCAACCACGCGGACAGCGAGGGCGTGGGGCCGAGAATCGTGGGCGTGAGCATCAGCATTGGTGGGATGCTGATATTCGCGCTGATGGTGGGGTTGGTGTCGGAGGGCATCTCGGAGAAGGTGGACTCGCTGAAGAAAGGCAAGAGCGACGTGATTGAGAAGAACCACACGCTCATCCTCGGCTGGAGCGACAAGCTGGTGGGTCTTAGGAGATAGGGATGAGAACGGGGATGGGGATGGGGATGGGCATGGGCATGGGCATGGGCATGGCGATGGTTATGGGGATGGGGATGGGGATGAGGATGGGGATGGGCATGGGCATGGGCATGGGCATGGGCATGGGCATGGGCATGGGCGTGGGCGTGAGCGTGGGCATGGGCGTGGGCATGGGCATGGGCGTGGGCGTGGGCGTGAGCATCAGCATTGGCGGGATGCTGATATTCGCGCTGATGGTGGGGTTGGTGTCGGAGGGCATCTCGGAGAAGGTGGACTCGCTGAAGAAAGGCAAGAGCGACGTGATTGAGAAGAACCACATGCTCATCCTCGGCTGGAGTGACAAGCTGGTGGGTTTTATGGGGATGAGGATGGGTGGGGATGGTTTGGGTAGGGGTGCGGTGGGGTGATTGAGAAGAACCACACGCTCATCCTCGGCTGGAGCGACAAGCTGGTGGGTTGTGGGGGGGAGTGACGGGAGTGATGGGGATTGGGAAGGGATGGTTGGGGTGGTACCCTCTCTGTCGTGGGGACTGACTGTGGGAGAAAGAGGGAGGGGAAGGGGGATGTAGGAAGGAAGGAAGGCAAGAGCGACGTGATTGAGAAGAACCACATGCTCATTTTCGGCTGGAGCGACAAGCTGCTGGGTTATGGGTGGGCGGGAGGGGAGAATGGGCATGGGCATGGTTGTGGGCATGGGCATGGCAATGGGTGTGGGTATGGGCATGGGCATGGGCGTGAGCATGAGCATCAGGCGGGCGGTGGTGCTGAAGCAGCTGGCAGTGGCGAATGAGAGCATGGGAGGGAGCGTGGTGTGGTGTGGTGGAGATGATGATTCCGCCTCTGGCCCTATGTTCTTGAGTTAATCGTGTCTTCTCCCTCCCTTTGCCCCTGCTGCCCATCACCCATCAGGCATCGCTGCTGAAGCAACTGGCAGTGGCGAATGAGAGCATGGGAGGGGGCGTGGTGGTGGTGATGAGCGAGAGGGAGAAGGAGGAGATGGAGAGCGAGATTCAGAAGATGGAGTTTAACTTCCGAGGCACCACTGTCATCTGCCGGTAAGAGAAGAGTGCCAACAGTGGTGTATTGGTTGCTTGATGAGTGCTGAGGAGAAGGAGAGGGGAGGGAGGAGAAAGAGAAGGAGAAGGAGATGGAGAGCGAGATTCAGAAGATGGAGTTCAACTTCCGCGGCACCACTGTCATCTGCCGGTATGTCGAATGCTGGGTGGTCACTTTTTAGTCGACTCAAAAGTCACTTCCGAGGCACCACTGTCATCTGCCGGTATGTCCAATGCTGGGTGGAATGCTGGTTGGCGAAGGTCAACCATCACTATGGTACATTCAAACACTGACTGAGGAGGAAGAGCATGAAGAGGAGAAAGCGAGGGGAGGGAAGAGAGGGAGAAAGAGGAGACGGAGATCGAGATTCAGAAGATGGGGTTTAACTTCCGGCTCGCCCCTGCTGTTGCCTGATCTCAAGGAGGTCTCTGTCTCCACAGCCCGGGCGCTCATAGTGCTGGCAGAGGCGGAGAACGCCGATACTGCAGACGCCAGGGCGCTAGCGCAGGGTGGGCGCTGATGGTAGCGCTGAGAGTGGTGCGAAATCTCTGTTCCCCTCTCCCCCTTGCGAAGTCTCTGTGTCGACTGCCCGGGCACTCATTGTGCTGGCAGAGGCGGAGAACGCCGATGCTGCCGACGCCAGGGCGCTCAGGGTGATGCTGAGTCTCTCCCCTCTCGCCCTTGCTGACCCCCTTCCCCCTGCTGCAGTTCCGGCTCGCCCCTGGTTCTGGCTGATCTCAAGAAGGTCTCTGTGTCCACAGCACGGGCGCTGATAGTGTTGGCGGAAGCAGAGAACGCCGATGCTGCAGACGCCAGGGCGCTGAGGGTGGTGCTGAGCCTGACGGGCGTGCGGGAGGGGCTGCGGGGGCACATTGTGGTGGAGCTGAGCGATATTGACAACCAGCAGCTGGTGAAGGTGAGGAGCGGTGTAGAGTGGTGAGGAGGGGTGAAGGGTGGTGAGGAGAGGTGTAGATTGGTGAGGAGAGGTGTAGATTGGTGAGGAGAGGTGTAGGGTCATGCAGGTGGAGGGAGGGGCTGCGGGGGCATATCGTGGGGAAGCTGAGTTCAGGGTTTAGAACACGCCCTCTTCCCCCATCAACCAGAACCCCTACCTCACTCTCACTCGCCCCCAGACCGCACAGAAAGTGGGAGGGCGCATGGTGGAGACGGTGGTGGCGCACGTCGTGAGGTCTAAAACCTCGTCTATCCCCCCCCTCTCCACCATTCTCCCTCCCGTCTCCTCCATCGCCCCCCTTCCTCCCTTCACTCGCCCCCTAATTCGCATAGAAGGTGCGGGGCCGCATGGTGGAGACGACGGTGGCACACGACGTGAGGTCTAAACCCTCGTCTATCCCCCCCCTCTCCACCATTCTCCCTCCCGTCTCCTCCATCGCCCCCCTTCCTCCCTTCACTCGCCCCCTAATTCGCATAGAAGGTGCGGGGCCGCATGGTGGAGACGGCGGTGGCACACGGCGTGAGGTCTAAACCCTCGTCTATCTCCCCCCTCTCCACCATTCTCCCTCCCGTCTCCTCCATCGCCCCCCTTCCTCCCTTCACTCGCCCCCTAATTCGCATAGAAGGTGCGGGGGCGCATGGTGGAGACGGTGGTGGCACACGACGTGAGGTCTAAACCCTCCTCCATTCCCCCTCCCCATTCCCCCTCCCGCCTCCTCCCTCAACCCCCTCCCCTTCCACTCTCCCTCCTAACCGCACAGATGGTGGGAGGGCGCATGGTGGAAACGGTGGTGGCTCACGACGTGATCGGGCGGCTCATGATTCAGTGCGCCCGCCAGCCCGGCCTGGCTCAGATCTGGGAGACCCTCCTCGGCTTCGAGAACTGCGAGTTCTACACCAAGCACTGGCCCGAGCTTGTCGGGAAAACCTTTCGGGAGGTCCTGCTGTCCTTCCCTGATGCGGTGCCGTGCGGTTTGAGGGTTTCTGCGCGGACGTACTATGAGAAGAGCACGGAGGCCGTGGGGTTTGAGTTTGCTGGAGGGAGCAGTGTTGGGAGTGAGGATGAGGAGGAAGGGGAGGAGGGGGAGGGAGGAGGGGAGGGCGAGGTGAAGAGGGTTGTGGAGGTGAAGAAGGAGCATACCCGGCTGTGGCTCAACCCGGACGATGACTATGTGCTCCAGGTGGGTGCTGCCTCTGTGTCAGATGTTAGTGACTTTTGAGGCGCCTCAAAAGGAGGGCGAGGTGAAGAGGGTTTATAAGGAGCATATGCGGCTGTGGCTCAACCCGGACGATGACTATGTGCTCCAGGTGGGTGCTGCCTCTGTGTCAGATGTTTGTGACTTTTGAGGCGCCTCGAAAGGAGGGCGAGGTGAAGAGGGTTTATAAGGAGCATACGCGGCTGTGGCTCAACTCGGACGATGACTATGTGCTCCAGGTGGGTGCTGCCTCTGTGTCAGATGTTTGTGACTTTTGAGGCTCCTCAAAAGGAGGGCGAGGTGAAGAGGGTTTATAAGGAGCATACGCGGCTGTGGCTCAACCCAGATGATGACTATGTGCTTCAGGTGAGTGGTCTATGTGCTTCAGGTGAGTGGTCTATGTGCTTCAGGTGAGTGGTCTATGCGGTCTATGTGCTTCAGGTGAGTGGTCTATCTGCTTCAGGTGAGTGGTCTATGTGCTTCAGGTGAGTGGTCTCTGTGCTTCAGGTGAGTGGTCTCTGTGCTTCAGGTGAGTGGTCTCTGTGCTTCAGGTGAGTGGTCTCTGTTCTTCAGGTGAGTGGTCTCTGGGCTTCAGGTGAGTGGTCTCTGTGCTTCAGGTGAGTGGTCTCTGTTCTTCAGGTGAGTGGTCTCTGGGCTTCAGGTGAGTGGTCTCTGTGCTTCAGGTGAGTGGTCTATGTGCTTCAGGTGAGTGGTCTCTGTGCTTCAGGTGAGTGGTCTCTGTGCTTCAGGTGAGTGGTCTATGTGCTTCAGGTGAGTGGTCTCTGTGCTTCAGGTGAGTGGTCTATGTGCTTCAGGTGAGTGGTCTATGTGCTTCAGGTGAGTGGTCTATGTGCTTCAGGTGAGTGGTCTCTGTGCTTCAGGTGAATGTTGCCTGTTTCTCAGATGATTGCGTGTGCGTCAGGTAGCTCAGGTAGGTGCTCTCTGCTTCAGGTGCTTCAGGTGAGTGCTCTTTGGGCTTCAGGTAAGTGCTTTCTTTATCCTGGTCCGCTCCCCCTCCCCCTGCCCCTCCCCCCATCCCCGCAGCCTGAGGACTCTGTACTTGTGATTGCTGAGAATGATGCCCCTTGCCCAGCAGAATGATTGAAATTGCACACCCATCACCTGGCCTCCTCCCCCACCTCCCACCCCCTCCCCCCCACTCCCCACCTCCCCTGCCCCTGCCCCCCTCCCCCATCCCTGCAGCCTGAGGACTCTGCTTGTGATTGCTGAGAATGATGCCCCTGGCCCCAGCACACCCAACACCTAGCCTCCTCCCCCACCTCCCACCCCCTTCCCCCCACTCCCCACTCCCCCTGCCCCTGCCCGTCCCCCCATCCCCCCAGCCTGAGGACTCTGTCCTTGTGATTGCAGAGGATGACGACTCCTATGCGCCCGGTCCACTGCCCGTGGTGCAAGACGCACTGCCCTTTATCTCGTCCTTGTCCCTTTGCCCCCTCCTCCCTTATTCATTCCCTCACCCCCCTCTCTCAACGTGTGACCCAGCCTGAGGACTCTGTTCTTGTGATAGCTGAGGATGACGACTCCTATGCTCCGGGCCCGCTGCCCGTGGTGCAAGACGCCCCGCTGCCCGACATTGAAACCCCGCCGAAGCTGCCCGAAAAAATCCTGTTCTGCGGCTGGCGGCGCGATATCGACGACATGATCACGGTGAGAAAGAGAGGGGAGGAGGGAGAGATGGGAGGGAAGGTGGGGGAACGGGGAAGGGTAAGATGATGGGTTGGGGAGATGTGGGGGGGAGTGGGGCGGGGGCGCCATATTGACAGTGAGGGGCAGGAAGTGTGTGGGCGGATGGGGGGAAAGGGAGAATGGGGCACGTTGCTGCTCCTCCCCATGCCCTCTCAACTCCCGTGCCTGCCCCCCGTTCACCCTAGTCCCATCCGACCACCCCCACCCTCGTCCGGCTGCCCGTTTCCGCCCTAGAGGCTTTTTTAGGATCCGAGCTGTGGATCTTCTCAGACGTGCCCGTGTGGAGGAACGGCAGGCGCGGCTCATAGAGGGCGGGCTGAACCCTTCTCTCTCCCTTCAACCTCAAACCCAAAACCTCGAAACCCGAAACCCTAATCTATACTCTGCCCATGCATACAGGTGCTAGAGGCGTTCTTAGCGCGGGGGTCGCAGCTGTGGATCTTCTCAGACGTTCCAGTGGAGGAGAGGGAGGCGCGGCTCATAGAGGCCAGGCTGAACCGGATTGCCCTCTCACCAGTGTCAAACCCTAATCTGGCCTTAAAGCTTGTGCCCTAATCCTGCCACTTGCAGGTGCTAGAGGCGTTCCTAGCGCGGGGATCGGAGCTGTGGGTCTTCTCAGACGTGCCCGCAGAAAAGCGGGAGGCGCGCCTCATAGAGGGCGGGCTGAACCCTCCTCGCTCCCTGCAACCTTAACCCACAACCTTTGGCTCTACTGTAATCCATGTGCCCCTCCCGTGCTCATACAGGTGCTAGAGGCGTTCTTAGCCCGGGGATCAGAGCTGTGGATCTTCTCAGATTTCCCCGTGGAGGAGCGAGAGGCACGCCTCATATAGGGCGGGCTGAACCCTCCTCGCTCCCTGCAACCTTAACCCACAACCTTTGGCTCTACTGTAATCCATGTGCCCCTCCCGTGCTCATACAGGTGCTAGAGGCGTTCTTAGCCCGGGGATCAGAGCTGTGGATCTTCTCAGATGTCCCCGTGGAGGAGCGAGAGGCGCGCCTCATAGAGGGCGGGCTGAACCCCAGCGAGCTGGAGAATGTGACTCTTGTGCACCGCATGGGCAACGCTGTCATCCGCAGGCACCTCGAGTTTCTCCCCCTCGAAACCTTTGACTCGGTGAGTCAAAGAAGTCCGTGACCTGGTAAGGGGCCTAGGCTCCTAGCTACCGTACCTACCCTATCTTTCAGCGAGCTGGAGAACGTGACTCTCTCGTGCACCGCATGGGCAACGCTGTCATCCGCAGGCACCTCGAGCTCCTCCCGCTGGAAACGTTTGACTCGGTGAGTGAGTGAGTGGGCTTCTGAGCTGGTAAGATGACGACCCTACTTACCTGAAGACAAAGCGTCTGTGGGTGCCTCATAGAGGGCGGGCTGAACCTCAGCGAGCTGGAAAACGTGACGCTTGTCTCGTGCACCGCATGGGCAACGCCGTTATTCGGCGCCATCTGGAGTTCCTCCCTCTCGAGACTTTTGACTCGGTGAGTAGGTGTAGAAGCTGGCAAGGTGTTGACTCTTCGCTCACGGACTAACTAGGCTTCTGTGGGCGCCTCATAGAGGGCGGGCTGAACCCCAGCGAGCTGGAAAACGTGACTCTCAACTCGTGCACCGCATGGGCAACGCTGTCATCCGCAGGCACCTCGAATTCCTCCCCCTCGAAACCTTCGACTCGGTAAGGCTTCTTGTGGGTTGTGGCTGGGTCACCCTCAGGGACTAGGCGTGCGTCTGTGGCTCATAGAGGGCGGGCTGAACCCTAGCGAGCCGGAGAACGTCACTCTCGTGCACCGCATGGGCAACACTGTCATCCTCCTCCCTCCCGTATCCTCATCTTCATCCTAAACCCTAAACTCTCTTGCTCTTTTCCCCATCCTCTCTTCTCCATGCTTCCTCCCCTCTCCCCTACTCCCCTACTTCCAATCCCGACTCTGCAACTCCCCTACTCGCTTTCCCAGATCCTCATTCTAGCAGACGAGGGGCTGGAGGACTCAATCATCCAACTGTGGCTCGCGCTACTCCCCAACCTGCCCTTATTTCCCCTCCCCTGCTTTCAATTTCCAAACCCCCTTCCGCACTTCCCCCCCCTCCCCCTCCCCCCAGATCCTCATTCTAGCGAACAACGGGACTCAATCATCCAACTGTGGCGCGCGCCATCCCTCACCCTGCCCTTCTTTCCCCTCCCCTGCTTTCAAGTTTCACACCCTCCCTCTGCACTTCCCTCTCCCCCCTTTCTGATCCTCATTCTAGCAGATGAGGGGCTCGAGGACTCGAATATCAACTGCGACTCGTCGTGCCATCCCTCACCCTGCCCATATTGCCCCTCCCCTATTTCCGACCCGCCCCCCCTCCCCCCCCTCCCCTTCCCCCTCAGATCCTCATTCTAGCAGACGAGGGGCTCGAGGACACGATTATCAACTGCGACTCGCGCTATTCCCTATCCTGCCCATATTGCCCCTCCCTTGCTTTCAAGTTTCAAACCCCCCTTCTGCACTTCCCTCTCCCCCCCCCCCCCCTCAGATCCTCATTCTAGCGGACGAGGGCCTGGAGGACTCAATCATCAACTGTGACTCGCGCTCCCTCGCCACACTGCTGCTCATCAGAGACATCCAGGTGGGTGCTGGTGTTGCCTGGGGGAGGTGCTATTTGTTCTAAGCAGGCTGGCTCATTTGTGTGTGTTCGAGTCTCCTGGTGCTCCCTCGCCATGCTGCTGCTCATCAGAGACATCCAGGTGGGTGTTATCTGGGGGAGGTTGTATGTGGAGGAGGTGCTATCTGTGAGCTAGGCAGAATGGATCGCGTGCATGCCAGCTTCTTTGAGAACCCTCGCCACGCTGCTGCTCATAAGAGACATCCAGGTGGGTCATAAGTGGGGGAGGTGCTACCTGGGAGGTGTGTGATGTGCATGCCAGCTTCTGTGAGCTCCCTCGCCACGCTGCTGCTCATCAGAGACATCCAGGTGGGCGGGGTGCTATGTGGGGGAGGTGCTATGTGGGGGAGGTGCTATGTGGGGGAGGTGCTACCTGGGAGGTGTGCTTCTATTAGCTCCCTCGCCACGCTGCTGCTCATCAGAGACGTCCAGGTGGGTGTTGGTGGGGGTGCTGCCTCGGGAAGGCTGTTCTAGGCAGGCTGGTTCATCCATTCGAGGGAGCCTCCCTTGCCACGCTGCTGCCCATCAGAGACGTCCAGGTGGGTACAGGTGCTACGGGAGGTGCTATCTGTGAGCTAGGCATAATGGGTGTGACCTGCACACCCATTAGCGGGAGGTCATTCACTTGCAGCCAGCTTCTGTGACCTACCCTCGCCTGCTCTCTGTCCCCTCTGCTGGTTCATTTCCGCATTTCTTATGCCTTCTCCCACCCACCCTCTCCTTCTCCTTTCCCCCCTCCCTTGCCTATCCCCCTCCGCCCTCCACCCTTCTCCCAACCCACCAATCCAGTCCAAGCGCATGCCGGCGGGCAGCAAGGGCCACCGGCGCAGCAACTCCAGCATCACCTACCCGCGCCCCACGTCCACGTCCTCGTGGGTGGGGCAGATGCAGCAGGCGTCGCAGCAGTCCATCGTCATCTCGGAAATCCTCGACTCGCGCACGCGCTCCCTTGTGTCTGTCTCCAAGATTAGTGATTACGTGCTCAGTAACGAGCTGGTGTCCATGGCTCTGGCAATGGTACGTACGTACGTGCATCAGGATTGACGTGCATCAGGATTGACTGATGGTAAGAAACTCCCTCGCGCCTCGCAGCAGTCCATCGTCATCTCGGAAATCCTCGACTCGCGCACGCGCTCCCTTGGGTCTGTTTCCAAGATTAGTGACTACGTGCTATCCAATGAGCTGGTCTCTATGGCGCTGGCAATGGTAAGAGCATGGAAGGAGCATGGCTCTGGCAATGGTGAGACACTCCATTGGTGTGACTCTTGAGAATTCTCAAAAGTCGCTCCTCGCAGCAGTCCATCGTTATCTCCGAGATCCTCGACTCGCGCACGCGCTCCCTTGTCTCAGGTTCCAAGGTCAGTGACTACGTTCTCTCCAACGAGCTGGTTTCTATGACGCTGGCAATGGTACGTGCGTGGGTTCTTGCCTCGTCCTCCTCTCCTCGTCCTCCCCCCCTCGTCCACCTCTCCTCGTGCTCTTCTCCTCGTCTCCTCTCCTCCTCCTTGTGGGTGGGGTGTCGCAGCAGTCCATCGTCATCTCGGAAATCCTCGACTCGTGCACGCGCTCCCTCATCTCCGTATCCAAGATCAGTGACTGCGTGCTCTGTAACAAGCTGGTTTCTATGGCGCTGGCAATGGTGGGTTCATGGTTGGTCTCAGGGTTCAGGGTTTCCCTGCTGTTCTCTTGCCGCACGCGCTCCCTCGTCTCCATGTCTAAAATCAACGACGCAGTGAGCTCGTGTCTATGGCACTAGCGATGGCGAGACATACCCTTGCTCCCCCAGCCCTTGACTTGAATTGCGCACGCTCTCCCTCGTCTCTGTTTCAAAGATCAGCGACGATGTGCTATCCAATGAGCTTGTCTCTATGCCACTAGCGATGGTGAGCTCAGGGCATAGGGTTTGGCTCTGGCGATGGTACGTGCATCACGGTTGATTGATTGTGTGACATCCCCTGCCCGTTTTGTTGCTGCACGCGCTCCCTCGTGTTCATCTCCAAGATCAGTGACTATGTTCTCAGCAACGAGCTCGTGTCTAGGGCTCTCGCATTGGTGAGTTCAGGGTGTAGGGTTTCCCTGCTGTTCCATTGCTTCACGCGCTCCCTCGTGCCCGTCTCCAAGATCAGCAACTATGTGCTCAGCAACGAGCTCGCCTCTATGGCTCTGGCAATGGTAAGCCACTCCCTTGCTCCTCCACCCCTTGACTTGACTCGCGCACGCGCTCCCTCGTGTTTTGAGTCGATTCAAAACACGACTCATTTCACATGGCTCTGGCAATGGTCAGTCACTCCCTTGCTCTCTTGCTCCTCTGCTCCTCCACCCCTTGACTTGACTCGCGCACGCGCTCCCTCGTGTTTTGAGTCGATTCAAAACACGACTCATTTCACATGGCTCTAGCAATGGTCAGTCACTCCCTTGCTCTCTTGCTCCTCCGCTCCTCTGCTCCTCCACCCCTTGACTTGACTCGCGCACGCGCTCCCTCGTGCTCGTCTCTCGCTTGCAGGGGGCGGCGGGCAGGTGAGTCAACCGAGTTGCCTCCCTTGCTTGCTGACTCTCGCCCCTCACCTTGTCCCTCTTTCCAACCCCGTCATGATCATCTTTACCCCCACCTTGTTCTCTCTCTCAAATGGTCCTTTGTATTAATTCAGCAGGGGGTACAGACATACAGTTTGACTCGTGAATCCCTTAGACCCTCTGACCCATTAACCCATCCCTCTGACCCTCCCCCCCCCCCTGAGTGACCCTCTACCCCTCCAGCGTGTGGAGGATGTCCCCTAGGTGCAGCGGCCATGGGTCCGCTGCCATCTGGGGGTGCGCCGCCTCGATCCCCGCCCTGGCCTTGGTGTGCAGGGCATTCGCCTGGGAGCGCTGGAGGGCCACTGACCAGCGCTGGCTGAAGTGGCAGGCCATCTTCTTGGCGGATTTCGCCAAGGGGTTGGCCCTGAAGCAGTTCCTAGCTGCTGCTGTGGCCAGCAGCTTCAGGAATGCCGTCGTGGGGGGCGCGTTTGCCCCGTAGGTCTCGACGGCCAGAGCGCAGAACACCACGTGTTGTGTGTGCCTATAGTAATCCCTTTCCTTCCTCTTCTGTGCCTCCTTTGCAGCCCAACCTGGGGGTTTGCGGGCTGCGGGGTCTCGGTTCTGTAGCACAGGGTCAGTGATAGTCGTGTCTGTGATCCAGGTCTCTCCACTGTCTGGGCCGCGTACAATCACATCGGCCTTCTTCGGGTCATCCGGTGGTGAGTACATTGCATTCTCCAGGTATACCACCAGCTGTGCCTCCCTCGCCATTTTAGCCACGGCGAAGGCCAGCTGGTTGTGTGTGCGCGTTCTGTCGGGGCCTGTGCTGCAGTGGAGTAGGTGGTTGGGGAGTCTGCAGTCGGCTACGAGCTCTCCACAGTCGCACATTGTAGGTACATTCTGTCGGATGCCCATGCGGAAGGCCAGGGCTATTCGGAATTGCCCTGGTGAAAAGCAGAGGTCTGAAGTCAGGGGTAGGGCTTGCAGCCATGCCCCCGCTCCCTCGCCTCTCAGGCTGATGAGGCGGAGCGTGTGCCCCATCTCGGGGGCAGACCTGATTGCGCGTGATTCCTCCGTCAGGGCGTCGGCCTTTGCCGCGTGCACTTCCTGAGAGAGGGCGCGCTGCAGCTAGTCTTGGGACGGGGTTTCCTGCTCCTCGCGGAGGTGTTGTAGCGCCGGTGGCGGCAATCGTCCCTCCATGTCTTGGATGGTGACCAAGTGCACTGCAGACGACTGCAAGGCGTTGCTGTTGCTCCCTAGCGCCGCGGTTGCTGGAAGGTTAAGTGAGCGGAGCAGGCGTAGCGCCTCTGTTGTCGAAGCCAGGTAGGCTGGTGCTGCTTCTGCTGTGGGGTCTGTGAGGCCCAGCCCACCTAGGGCTACTGGGAGGGTTGCTTGGCGGATAAGAAAATTGAACTCGGCTTCATGGCGGGGTGGTTGGATGCCGGCGGAAGTCAAAGCGGTGTTGAGCAGTTCGGTGCACCACGCGTGCCATTCCGAAAGAGGTAAGACGTCTGCTGGGGTGGTGCGCAGCAGGTAGCCGATTCTGCGGCTGATGCAGCGAGACAACAGCAGGAGGGTATGTTGTGGATGGATGGATGCCAAGGAGCCTAGGGGTGCCGTCGCGTCAGTCAGGGTATTGCGGACGAGGTCAGAGCAGAAGCGGTGTGACCCCACATGGCTTCCCAACACCCGTACCCCCTCGTGGGTGAGGGGAAGGCCCTCGGGGAGCTCGTCACCTTCGAGCGGCGAGGAGGACCACGCCGACGACTTTCTGAGGTTGCAGGTGAGGCCATCCTGGGCTAGCAGCGGCGTCAGCACCCTTAGCGCGCCGAGCGTTGCTGTCGCCGGTCCGATCATGGTGATGTCGTCTGCATATGCTAGGACCGTGACTTCGGGGTGCTCTGCCGCTACGCGTCTGAGGTGCTGCTGGATTGATGCCGCGAACAGAAGGGGTCCGAGGGGATCCCCCTGCCTAACTCCCCTTCCGCTGGTGAGTGCCGTTGTGCTCAAGCGGGGATCGGTCAGTAGCTGTGAAGGCGCCGCATAGAAGGAGTGTGTGAAAGGTATGAGCGGGGCAAGCGGGGTGTTGGTGAGTGCGTTGAAGAACGCTTTCCTCTCTACGGAGTTGAAAGCGTTCTTAATGTCGAGTTGGAGGACTAGGCTGGATGGTTGTGAAGTGGCGAGGTCTCTGACTGCGTGGATAACGAACTCAGCCCCGCCTGGGACTGCCACGCCAAATTGTTGGGGTAAGAAAAATCGCCTTGTCTCTCCTTGCAGTTTTGAGAGTGCCACCTTTGCTGACAGCCGAAGCAAGGATTCCCCTATCGCGATAGGGCGTACCCCCCCCCCCTGGTTTTGCGAAGGCGATGAGGCGGGATGGCGAGAGTAGCGCTGCAACCTCGGTGGAGAGATTCGTCGAGAGAAGGTGTGTTACGGCAGAGTGCAGGTGCCCCAGTACCTCGATGTTACTTAGGGCTGGGTTGCGGTAATGTTCGAATGTTGACCGTGATGGACCAGCCCCAACTCCGCTGGGGCAATCCCCGAGGACGTTTGAGAAACTTTCCGCGGTGCAAGAAAATTGCGTGGGTGTTGTGTAGGTGTGGACCCAGTCGGGCATGTCAATTTGGGGTTGGGGATGTTTCGATTCCATCTGCTACAGTGTCGCGATTGTTGCAGGGGCTGCTGGCGAGGGTTGAAGGGCTGCCAACGCTTTTCGCAGGTTACCCCGTTTCACCAGCCCCTCCACACGTGAGCAGACTCCCAGGGGGTCATTTTGGTGCTGAGGTGGTTCGGTTTGTTGCAGGGACCCCGCGTAGTCACTGTACAGCTGGTTCCAGTGGCCACACCTGAATAGGTGCATCTGTTCTCGCAGCATCTTCCACCTAGAGCCGGATCTCATGCTAAGTCGTAAGGTGAGACGTGGCAGGAACATGAGGACCCGCCACGCTCCCGCGCAATTTGGCAGCTTGGAGATCCGTAGGAGGGCGGCCAGCATACAGGTGGAGTAATCACTTAGGATCTGCGGCGGTAGGCGGCGGACGATAGGCAGGTGAATGGTCGACGTTAAGATAGTAGAGTCCCAGCTCATCGCGATCTCAAAGAGATCCTCCCTCGATGCCAGCTGGGACGCCGAAAGGGCTTGGTCCGGAGGGGGTTGGGGTCTGCGGTTCTGTCGGCGGCTAGATCCTCTCTCCTGCTGCTGCGCCTGCTCCACCCCCGCTTCCGCGCGGGGTGAGTCGGGATTGTCAGGTTGCCTTAGATCTGACGGTACATATTCGTCGCCACTCCCCTTTGCGTTTGTATCACCAATTCTCCCTGCTTGCCCTGCCGTTCCTCCTCTCGCCCCGCGCCTGGCGAACGACTGGCGCGTGACTCGTTCCGCCGGCTCCCCCAACCAGATTGGGCTCGGCAATTGGCGGGGATTCCCCCTTGCCGCTTGGCCTGCGCTCCGCTGTCCTCCGCGCGCTCCTCGACGCCCGCCTCTTCCCTGCGTGCTTCCCCGTCCGCTCCTCGGAGTGGCTGCCACCGGTGCCGCCTGTTGCGCCTGGGAGATCGGCGTTATCGGCTCGTCCCGTGGCAGTGGCGCGCCTTGAGCGGAGGCCGATGGACTTCCTTAGTGCTCTGGGCCGTGACTGCGTTGAGAGGTTGATCCTGCTCCCCGTCCGCTTCCTCCTGCACGTCCTGTCGCGAGCGTACCTGTTGCTCCGCCGGCGTTTGCGGATGAGATCCGTCGGCGCTTTGAGGATTAGCGGCAGGATCTGGTTCCGCGCGGAGGCGGATCCTTGTCCTAGGGGAGCCTGCGCGTGCGGGGTCCGTCACGCGCTCCGGCGCAGAGGCTGTGGTGCACCGGGAGCGTTCGCCTCGCCATCGTTCATCGGCGGCCCGCGACGGTAAGCGGGAGAGCCGCTGCAACGATCGCCACGCTGACGCATGGTTGCCGCAGTCGCCGCGATCACCGCGGTCACCTCGTTCGCCTCGACGCTTGGCGTCACGGAGCCGTTCCCGTGACCGCCGCTCGTATCGCCACCGTTCCCCCGCTCCCCGCTCCTCTCGTCCGCGTTCGCCTGCTCGCCATGCGTCTGGATATCGGTCCTCGGCTCCACGTTCTCCCCCTCCTGCGACGCGCTAGCGGCTCTACTCTCCTCGTCGCACGGAGCGTTCCCCTGATCGCCAGCGTCAGCGGGGCCCGTCTCGCCCGTAGTCGCCTGCGCGTTCGAACGCGAGTAGGCGTGCGCGCCGTGGGCGACGGGGGGGTTACGATCGCGGCGGAACCGCGCGTCCAGCGCCTTCCGCAATGGAGCGAGTCCTGAAGAAATTGGATGGTGTGGAGAAAGCTCTCCACCGCTCCCATGCGGGGTCGTCCTCGCAATCTGCTCCTCCCGCTGCTCCAGTCGCTCCTCTCGCCGCGCTCCTGCCCCTCAACCCTGTAGGATCCCCGGCGCGCTCAGCTCGTCCGCTGCCTGCGGGAACTGGCTTCGTTGGCGCGGGTGGCAGGGACCTGTGGGCCCAGTTCGCTCCGCCACGTCCCCTCCCTGCTCCTCGTGATCTGGCAGTGTCGGCCCGCTGATCTCGCGCGTCTGCATTCCCTCCGCAGATGAAGCCAGTGCCCACGGCGACCCTGGCGCACTTGTGGTCGTTGGCGGAGTGCCTGCAGAGTCTTGAACTGATTCTCCTCGAGTCACATGGCTCCATGTTGGAGACCCCGCCGAGCACGTTCTCTCAGATGCCAGGAGTCACATGGCTCCAGGAGTCACATGGCTCCATGTTGGAGACCCCACCGAGCACGTTCTCTCAGATGCCGCGAGCAAGGTGTCACGCGGCGGCGTCAGCATTATTCTCGCACGTATCGCCACTGCAGGTCGCGCCCTCGCCGGGAGTAGTCTCGGCCACCCAGCTGGCTGAGAAGGCCCTGGATCTGAGGACGCTTGTAGCAACTCGTGGAACTCCTGTTGACGTTGTCGGCGCCACCGTGTCAGTGGTCCGCCAGATGTGATTGACCACGCGCGAAACGCTTGGTGAGCTTGAGGCTGACCGCCTGTAGGCGGCCCCCTCGCGCACGTGTAGACCCGTTCCATGGTTGCTTGCCTAGTTGCTGTTGTCTGCCATGTTTGTTGTTCTTGCCATGAGTTTTGCCGTCCTTGTTAATTCCCTTGTCGTCCCAAACGCGCGGCCGCAGGCCGCGCCCGCGAGCGCCGGCGCGAAGCACTGGAAAAAACTGAAACACCAAATGAAGAATGAGCTAGAAGGAAGGCCATTATATAGCTGGGGAAGAGAGGGGAAGAGCCTAGGAGGGAAGAGACTAAGTCCCTTGCTTCTCTCTCTCTCTCTCTCCACTCCCGTTATTGTCACGTCCAAACAGGTGGCGGAGGACAGGGAGGTTAACCGCGTTTTGGAGGAGCTTTCCATTCCTCTTTAGTCACCTTCTCCTCTCCCCCTCCCCCCCTCCCTCCCCCCCCTTCCCCCCTCCCCTCGCCCCTCGTTATAATCACCCTTCAACAGGTGGCGGAGGACAGGGAGGTTAACCGCGTTTTGGAGGAGCTGTTTTCAGAAGAGGTAAGCTGAGGAGAAAAGGGGATGTTGGGTTGGGAGGGGCATGGTGAGGGAAGGCATAGTTTGTGGAAGGGCAGGTGGCGTAAGACAGGGAGGTCAACCGCGTTTTGGGGGAGCTGTTTTCAGAAGAGGCATGTGGTGGAGGAAAGGGGATGCTGGGTTGGGAGGGGGGAGAATGGAGGGTGGGGGAGGTTGGGGGGGGGTGGGGGGAAAACATTGGGTTGGGGATTGTCCTGGGGAGAGGGGGGGGGGAGCGGGGAGGATGGAGGAGGATCTGTCCATCTTCCATTTGCACCCCTCTGCACCCATCCATGCCAACCCCCCTCCCCCCAGGGCAACGAGATGTACATTTGGCCGGCGGAGCTCTACTTGATGGACGGTGAGGAGCTGTGCTTTCTTCCCCCGCACCCATTTGCACCCCTCTGCACCCATCCATCCCACCCCCCCCAGGGCAACAAGATGTACATCCGGCCGGCAGAGCTCTACCTGACGGACGGAGAGGAGCTGTCGTTCCCTCTGCACCTGTTTTCACCCCTCTGCACCCATTTGCACCCATCCATTCCCCTTCCCATCCTCCAGGGCAACGAGATGTACATCCGCCCAGTGGAGCTCTACCTCACAGATGGAGAGGAGCTCTCCTTCCATCAGCACTCACTTTCACCCCTCTGTACCCTTCTGCATCCACCCTGTGCCCCTTTCAGGGCAACGAGATGTACATCCGCACAGCAGAACTCTACTTGACAGACAGAGAGGAGCTGTCCTTTCCTCTGCATTTGTTTTCACCCCCCTCCACCACACTGCACCCATCTGTGCCATCCCCTCCAGGGCAACGAGATGTACATCCGGCCAGCCGAGCTCTACCTCACAGACGGGGAGGAGCTGTCCTTAAATCTGCACCCATCCTATCCCCACCCTTTTCCCCCCTCCTGCCCCCCTCTCCCCAACCTCCCCTCCAGGGCAACGAGATGTGCATCCGGCCGGCAGAGCTCTACCTCACAGACGGGGAGGAGTGTTAGAATTGTATGTTCTAGCATGCCAACACTTGTGACTGTACACCAATTGTGGTGTACAGTGAGTTGGGACTACACCCAACTTTGGGTGTAGTCTTGCATTGTGGGGTGCCAATCCAACCCAATTGTGGTGGAGCCCCCAAATGCAACCCACTTGGCCTCAGGTTGCCTCACTTCCCAAAAGTGAGGCCAACCCAACCCAAGTGGGCCTGAGGTTGCTTCACTTCCCACAAAGTGTGGTCAACCCAACCCACTTGACCTTAGGTTGCCTCACTTCCCAAAGTGAGGCCAACCCAACCTATGGTCAACCCAACCTTTCTCCTCCAAGCTTCTCATCCAACATATGTATGCTTCTTCCTCCTCTAATCAAACTAATGATTCACTTTATAATCTTCACAAGGAGCTCTCATTTTTCGCCCTGCACCCATTTGCACCCCTCTGCACCCTTCTGCATCCACCCTGTGTCCCCCGCACCTTCTCTCCAGGGCAACGAGATGTACATCCGGCCGGCAGAGCTCTACCTCACAGACGGCGAGGAGCTTCACTTCTTCCCTCTGTGACGCTTGCATGGCGATCATCATCGGCTACCGGCTCCCCCACCAACCACCTGTGCACTCATTTTCCCCCCTCTCCACCCCTCTGCACCCATTCAGGGCAACGAGATGTATATTCGCCCAGCAGAGCTCTACCTCACAGACGGAGGAGCTGTCCTTCTTCGAAGTGGCGGTGAGAGCGCGCCAGCGCATAGAGATCATCATCGGCTACCGGCTCTCCCACGAACCACCTGTGCACTCATTTGCCCCCTTTGCACCCCTTTGCACCCCTCTGCACCCATCCAGGGGAACGAGATGTACATCCGCCCAGCGGAGCTCTACCTCACAGACGGAGAGGAGCTCTCCTTTTTCGAAGTCGCAGTGCGGGCCCGCCAGCGCATGGAGATCATTATTGGATACCGGCTGTTTACAGAGCTCCCTCTGCACCCCTCTGCACCCATCCATTCCCCTTCCCCTGTCCTTTCAGGGCAACGAGATATATATTCGCCCAGCGGAGCTCTACCTGACAGACAGCGAGGAGCTCTCGTTCTTCGAAGTGGCGATGCGAGTTGAACAAGTCTTCTGAACAAGCCTTCCCCCCCCTCCCTCCCCCATCCCCTCCAGGGCAACGAGATGTATATTCGCCCAGCAGAGCTGTATCTCACAGAAGGCAAGGAGCTCTCGTTCTTCGAAGTGGCAGTGAGAGCCCACCAGCGCATGGAGATCATCATTGCATCGGCTACCGGCTGTTAACCCATTTGCACCCCTCTGCACCACCACCCTCCCCTAACCTCCCCCCAGGGCAACGAGATGTACATTCGCCCAGTGGAGCTCTACCTGACAGACGGAGAGGAGTTGTCGTTCTTCATCGCAGTGAGAGTGCGGAAACGCTTGCAGATCATCATCGCATCGGCTACCGGCTCTTCACATAGCTCCCTCTGCACCCCTCTGCACCCATCCATTCCCCTCCCCCATCCCCCCCAGGGCAACGAGATGTACATTCGCCCAGCGGAGCTGTATCTCACGGACGGCGAGGAGCTCTCGTTCTTCGAAGTCGCAGTGAGAGCCCGCCAGCGCATGGAGATCATTATTGGCTACCGGCTGTTCACAGAGGACGAGGCAGTTCTGAACCCGCCTGACAAGGCTGAAAGGCACGCCTGGTCGATTCAAGACACCTTCATCGTTCTCTCGTTCAACGAGTAGTCGCGGCTTTTTGTTCTCTCGTGACAGGTAGAGCTCGGCTCGGCTTTCTACGTGCCTCAAACCGGAGCTTACAAAGCTTACTAAGTGACTTTTGAGTTGACTCAGGAGCTTTCGAAGCTCACAAACTACTATGATCTGAGTACTGTACCGGCTAGTAAAGGAGGATGGGGGGCAGTGCTTCTGAGCAAGGCCGAAAGATGTGCCTGGTCCATCCAAGACATGTGAGTCGTTTTGACAATCGACTCGACGGGTAGCAGGCATGGATTGGTACACTACACACACACATTCGTTTGCTTTTCAATGGAGTGCAGCAGCCAGTGTGCTTGCTTGCTAGCTATCCTGGGGAAGGGCGTGTTTCTGGGTGTAGCCTCCCCTGCAAAATATATTTGGGTTTAGGGTAGTGCTAAAATAAGCAACTATGGGTAGCCTCTTTACGTAGGTGGCTTGCACACTAGGTTTTTCCCCTAGGCTTGGAACGTCTGACTTCACCCATCTACCCAGTGGTACACAGGAGCATTGGACAGCAAGTTGTGTGAGGTTGTCTAATTGAGGTATCTGGCATCATGTAGGGCAGATCTGTGTGGTGCAACGAAGTGTTCTCTTGACAATTTCTCTCAATAATATTGAATTGCACAGTACTGCCTGAAGCAATGGATTGCTCTTTGTTACTACATTATGGCAAATGTAGCTAGCACTGCTGTCACTCCCCCACTTCATACACCACTTTCTCCTTTCTCCCCCCTCCAGAGCTACCGCCATCCCCTCCCCTACCACCATCAGCATCAACATCAGCATCAGCATCAGCATCACCGTCACCATCAGCATCAGAATAAGAAGTTTTGGAATCCTTACGTCCTCTCCCCTCTGCACCACCGTTACCACCACCAGCTCTCCCAACCCTACCTCTTCCATCCTCTCCCGAATCAACGTCAGCCGCTTTCCTATGCACCTGCAGCATCAATCTGCAATCCGCTAGCGCTTTCCCTCTCAGTCCCCCGCATTTGGAGCTTTCTCCGTCATCCATGGATATTGCGAAATAAAGGTAAATCGTACACAGGACCGCTAGGATCGCCATTGTCGTTAGCAGGTATTGATGCCGAGCCATCAAGGCTCGGAAAGACAGGTCCACTTGTGCCGAGCCTGGCGGCTGCGGCTTCGGACGATATTGGCTCTGGAGCCGGCTTCCGGACCTAATCGCTAGGTTCCCTTGCTGCGGAGATCGTAAGTGACGCTCCGAAGGGCGGAGGTTCGGAGAGGTTGGGAGGAGGGAGGGAGAGAGGGAGGATCCCGGAGGGATGGACGTAGGAAGCTTCGGATCTAAGGGGGGGCTGGTGACACCGTGTCGCCTATAGACGTCCTTAGAAGCTGTGGAGTATGATGACGTGGCAGTTGGGGAGGTTGGATCGTTGAGATCCGCGTTGCTGGCCGATCGGTTCGCCATGGTTGCGTTGCGAATAACGGACCTCCCTCGATAGTACTTCCGTCGACAGAGTCGAAAACCTAAATCAAATCTGGATCCCGAAGTCCAGGAAAAACAGTTTCACGCACGTGAAGAATAAGGTTGTGCTAGGTTGGCCATGTGACAAGAGCGTGGAATATTGACGGCGGATGAAATGAGAGTGGGCGAGGGATGAAAAGGACTCTCAGGGCGTGTTCTAGCTTTGTTTAGCTGGCACTTAACGTGTGTTGACTTCTGCTTTGGCGCGGTTGGTCTGGACCCTCGAGATCAGGCCCATCCCAAACTCTCAGTACCTTGAGTCAACATTTGAAAATCGCTTCAGCTTCGTAACGGGTATCTTTCGGAACTGTAGAGTGGCTACACTGTAGCTCTAAAATTTGGGCACTTCAGGAATCAGGGAAATGCCTTATGTGGGCATTGAGAATGCCGAGAGCAGATGACATGAGTATTCTTGAAGCGAAGCATCTACTATAGCGTCTGATATCCTGGACCACTGCCATCACCACCACACCACTGCCAACCTTCTTTCTCAGTCGATGATTATCTGATACTGTACTGTAAGGATATCCAGAAGGATACACAAGAACCAAAACGACACACACAACAAATGGGGGTTAGCACTAGCAGTCACTGTTCGTGGGACCGTCGTTGAGTGCCGGCGTTTGAAGTCACCCACAGTCGTACGATAGGACCAACCACGCGACGCGCCGCATTGGATTCCCAATGCCTAGTGCATAATATTTCAAATTATAATGTTATTTACGTATTCTATTACTGTTAATAGCACTCTGCCTTTTAGTCCAAACCTTCATACGGCCTTATCGGTAGTGCATTTGCTACCTGTGCCACGTCGCGTTTACTCCTTGATCGAAAGCTCTCCATTTGAAGCTTTGCCGAGCCTAGCCAGGCATGGCATCCCCACCGCAAGATTCCCCCAGAGCAGGGTTACCGAGCCTCGCCTTCCCTCTCTCCTCACCACGCCTACACTCACCACTCCGAGCCTCATCATTCCGAGCCTCGCCGTTAGGAGCCTCTCCGAGCCTAAAAACCCCGAGCCATGGATCTCTCAGCAGGAGACACAGCGGACGGCTAGGATTGCCCGAGATGGAAACCGAGACGTTGGAAGGGAAGCTGCAGATTTTGGAGATACAGCGACAGCTGAGCGCCGTCCGATGTCAGGCGTTCATGCAAGCCCTAGATTCCGCGATCCTGCTAGATGCTGCTGCTGACGTGGCCGTTGCTGATGCTGACGTGGCTTTTGCTGATGCTGACGCAAGTGTTGCTGCTGATGTGGCTGATGAATCTGCTGCCGTGGGATTCGCGGGAGCAACAGAGCACTCATGCCAGGCGACCGTGCCGGCCGGAGAGAAGGCTTATTCGGGAGAGAAGGCTTATGCAGGGGTGGAGCCTGCATTTGCGGCAGACAAGGCTAAAGCGCCTGACAGGTTTTATACGGCAGAGAAGGTTTATTCAGGAGAGAAAGCCGTGTTGCGGCCGTTGGCGCGTGGAATATCGCTGGATGCGAGTTATAGATGGCGAACAGGGTTGGGTGTGGGGACGGACATGGGCGGAACGGGGATGGGAGTGGGGATGGGGACGGGGATGGGGTCTGATATGAACGTTTTAAGGGACGATTTTGAGAAGAGTGGTGAGAGTGAATGGGTTCCAAAAGGAGCTCCTAGAGGGGACGTTCTTATAACGAGTATAACGGGAGATGCTGGTTTGGCAGGGGATTCCGCTTCCAATGAAGCCACTGTTTCAGCAGGACAGGAGGGCAGGCGAAGAGGGAGGAGAGGAGGGGCAGGAAGAGGAGAAGGAGGAGGAGTAGGGGGAGTAGGGGGAGCAGGAGGAACTGACTTTTCAACATCCACGTCATCTTCAACGTTCCTGACGTCACCACCCTCTCTGTCCTCGTCATCGGCCACGTCAGCCGCAGCAGAGTTTTCCGCCATGTCAGCAACGCTGCCAATGACGACAGCAGCAGCAGCAGCAGCAGCAGCAGCAAGTGCGAGAGCCAAGCCTACTCGCCGATTAAGAGTCAGAAAAGCGTCTCTAGACTTTAAGGGGGACTGGAACGTAGGAGGTATGGGAGGATGGGGGGAGGAAGAGGGGGGAAAAGGAGGGCGAGGAGGAGGAGCGAGAGAGGGAGGTGGGGGTGGGGGTTTTGCTGTTAGAGGGTTTGATATGGGTGGGTTTTCAGGGAGATCTATGCTCCCCCCTCGCTCCCCCGGGCCAAGAGGGGAATCCCCGTTATTGAGTGCTGCGTTACTTGCTGCCCCAGTCTCGAGTGTCCCGTTATTGAGTGCTCCACCACAGAGAGGCGGTGCCGTGCCTGCTGCTGCCATACCTGTTGGAAGGGGGCAGGAAGGGGGCGTAGTAGCCAGAACGCTGGACCAATCGGAGGCGAGAGAATCTAGCCAATCAGAGGGGAGAGGGGGCAGCCAATCAGAGGGCAGGGGGAGCAGCCAATCAGAGGGGAGAGGGAGCAGCCAATCAGAAACGAGCGGGGCAAGTGAAAGGGAGGGAGCAGCCTGGGGCGGCTTATCTGCTGGACGGGAGAGAAACCGTTTTCCACAGAGCATTCAGCAGCCACTGTATCAGCGCTCGCCACGTCAGCACTCGCCTTATCTGCATTCGCCATGTCACCATCAAGAGAAAGCTCCGTCGGGTCTTTCAGGATTGAGTATGGAGGAACCGGAAAGCCAGAGCAAGCAGTTGTGGCAAGAGGAAGGGGTGTTCTCTTCAGGGACATCGGACCACACATCTGGCCGCCTATCAGACCGCCTATCGGACCGCCTATCAGACCGCCTATCGGACCGCCTATCGGATCGCCTATCCGACCGCCTATCGGATCGCCTATCGGACCGCCTATCGGATCGCCTATCGGACCGCCTATTGGACCGCCTATCAGACCGCTTATCAAACCTTCCACTATCAGGCTCGTCTAGATCGGAATATGAGGAGCAGGAGAAGCAGGAGAAGTGGGAGGAACGGGGGGAGCGGGAGAAACGGGAGGAACGGAAGGCGCAGGAGGAGAGGGATGAGCGGGAGAAGCAGGTGGAAAGGTTTCGACACATGCTGATTGCTCTGGGTATAGGGAGGAGAGATGGGGGGTTGGGAGGTCAGGCACTCGGGCAGTGGCAGGGGCAGGGGCAGGGGCAAGGGGAAAGGCAGGGGAAGGAGGGAGGGCAGGAGAACAGGCAGGGACAGGGGCAGGTGCTGGGGCGTGAGAAAGAGCAGGAGAAAGGGAAGGTACAACAACCTATCGCCTGGGGTGATGCCATGGGGAGTCGTGCTGCTGCTGCTGCTGCTGCTTCGGCTGCTGCCACTTCAGCTGCTGCTGCTGCTTCATCTGTGGCTGCTTCTAGGGGCATGCCACCCACCGCTCCACCACAGCAGCAGCAGCAGTGGCGGCAGTGGCGGGATTTTGAGTCCCCGCCTTCATCAGACTATGACACCTCCTCCTCCGATGCCTCCCTCTTCCTGCATTCCCGCTCCCTCGCACGCTCCCACGCACGCTCCCTCACCCGCGCCCAAGCCGCGTGCACACCTGCTGCCACCCGTGCACCTGCCACCCATGCACCTGCTACCCATGCACCTGCCACGAGTGCCAGTGCTGCTGTTTCTATGGATGCTGTTATGAGCACACCTGCCAGTGCTGCTGCTGGTGCTTCATCCGTGCTACAACCACACTCTGAGACGTCTCAGAAGAACTCGTGTGCAGCAGCTGCAGTTTCAGCCGTGCTACAGCTTGGTTCCCAACCGTCCCAAGTCTCGTCTACCACAGCTGCTGCTACAGAAAAAAGTGGAGGGGAGGGTGGGGAGAAGGGTGGAGGAGAGAGTGCAGGGAGGGGCAGAGGTAAGGGTGCCGAGAAGGGGGCGGGGGCGTCTATTGCTGCTGGTGGTGGTGGTGGTGCTGCTGCTGCTGCTGTTTCTGGTCCCTTAGCTGCTGTTGCTGGTGCCTCTGCTGCTGCTGCTGGTGCTGCCCCTTCTGCTGCTGCTCCTGCCCCTTCTGCTGATGCTGCTGCTTCTGTTGCTTCTGCTACCTCTGCCTCTGCTGCTGCTGCTGGTGCTGCCCCTTCTGCTGATGCTGCTGCTTCTGTTGCTTCTGCTACCTCTGCCTCTGCTGCTGCTGGTGAAAGCGCAGGGGCGTACTTTGAATCCCCACCATCATCAGACTACGAATCTTCCTCCTCCGATGCCTCTCTCTTCCTCCGCACTCGCTCCCACACCCGCTCCCACACTCTCTCCTACACTCTCTCCCACACTCGCTCCCACAATCGGCCCCCCTCACTCGCCCAGACCCACCCTCCCTTTCCCTCCCATACTCATACTCAGACCCACACCCACGACCACACTCACTCTCACTCCAACTCCCACACTCACTCTCACTCTCAATCTCACTCCCACAGTCACACTCCCTCCCACACTCACACTCAAGGTCGTTCTATTCCCGCACGCCTTGCACAACCCGCTCTACCTCCAACCGTTTCTTTGAACCACCATCTCCCAAATCCCGACAGATCAACTGGTTTGGACCAGCAGCCTCCCAGTCAACCCAGTCAACCCAGTCAAGCGAGTCAAGCGAGTCAAGCCGGGTCAACAAGGGTAAGGCGACCTATAGGGGGGCGGCATGCACGCTCGTTTTCAGGCACTGTCGCTTACAGCCCTGGCTACAGCCCTACAGCACACCTCTCCCCACCATCCCATGCCTCTACTGCTGCTCCTCCCCCTGCCACCCCTGCTGCTGCTCCTCCTCCTCCTCCTGCCGCCCCTCCTGCTGCTGCTGCTGCCCCCGTTCCATCTGGATCCACAGGGGTTAGAAGACCTATAGGGGGCCGGCATGCACGCTCGTTTTCAGGCACTGTTGCTTACAGCCCTCGATACAGCCCTACAGCGCACCTGTCCCCACCAACTCCTCCCCCTGTTGCTGCTGCTGGTATAGACCAACAGGCCCCCAGTCTCCCCGGGTTATCTGCTTCAGATTATTATCCCCCCTGTCAAGCCAGTCATGCCAGTCAAGCGAGTCAACTTGGGTCAATTGGAGTAAGACAACCAGTAAGGAGTCGGCATGCTCGCTCTCTCTCCGGCTCTGTTGCCTACAGCCCTTCCAGCAGCTTCCCAGGGCTTTCTGGCTCTGGTTGTGCTTTTGATTCGACTCAAAGGCTTTCTGGGTCAGGGTGTTCTCCCCATTTCTCCCGCTCACGCACGCATGGGTTTCCGAGCAAACCTCCGATGTCACCCAGCGCGTCACGGGGTGCTTTGGGTGGTAACCCTTGGGTAGTGGCTAGGGCAGAGGCAGCAGCAGCAGCAACAGGAGGAGGAGGAGGAGGAGGAGCAGGAGCAGAAGCAGCAGGAGTAGGAAGAGCAGGAGCGGGAACAGGAGCAGCAGCAGCAGGAGCAGCAGGAGTAGGAGCGCGAGCAGGGGCAGGAGTCGGAGGAGCAGCAGGAGCAGCAAAGCCGATGCTACCTCCAGGAGGCACAGCCTTATCCACAGGAGCAGCAGCAGCACGTGCAGGGGAAGGAGTGGGAGAGAACGGAGGAGTGGGAAGCGGTGCAAAAGGAGCAGGAATGGGTTCTGTGAGACGCAGGCAGCCTGGGCGTTTGATGTCTGCCAGGCGGCTATCTTTGGACTTAAATAATGAAGGGGTGTTTGGGAGAATCGGTTGGGAGGAGTGGACAGGGAAAACCCTCGTTGTGGGTAGGCCAGGGGAGGGAGGGGACAGGGATGTGACTAAAGCGAGAGAGGGAGGGGAAAGGGATGTGATTAAAGCGAAGGAGGGAGGAAATGGTGGTGTGATTAGAGCTAAGGAGAGAGACGATGGGACCCAGAGAAGGGATGAAGCACAAGCAGAACTCCCAGATATAGGGGGAGATGGGGGTGGGGACCTACACAGAGGAGAAAGGGAGGAGGGAAGAGGGGGTGGGGATGGGACTCTGAGGGAGGAAGCAACAAATCGTTTTAATGACACAGAACTCTCCCACGGAGACAGAGAGAGGGGAGGAAGAGGAAGGGATGAGGGAGCAATGAGGTATGACCGAAGCTTCCAAGCAACTCCTGAGGCGTCTCAACGAAGCTGCCAGGCACCTTCGCCTTGTAATCCACTGGAAAATTCTGCTCCCACCGTCCCTGGCAGCATGACAGAGAACAGATCTGGGTGCTTGGCTGGTGGCATAACTTGCAGCAAGAGTGGTAGCAGAATTGGCAGCAGCAGTGGCAGTAGCAGCAAACCCATTCGTCCCCCTGTGAGGCATGCCTCCTTGAATCTGAGACGTGCTGTGGATGAGTGGAAGGAGGGGCAGGAGGGGAAGAGTGGGAGGGAAGGGAGGGAAGGGAGGGAAGGGAGTGGCAGCAAGGCAGAGAGCAAGAGTGGGAGCAAGATTGAAAGCAAAACTGGAAATAGCAGGCCCTTTCGTCCCCCTGTGAGGCATGCGTCCTTGAATCTGAGACATGTGGTTGATGAGTGGAGGGAGGGGCAGGAGGGGACGGAGGGGAGGGAGGGGAAAGAAGGTAGGAAAGGAAGGGATGGAAAGGATGGGAGAGGTGGGAGGGAAAGGATGACGACTCGTCTTTCCAAGGCCTTACTTCCCCCTGTAAGCCTTGTAAGACATGCATCGTTGGACATGCGGCGAGCGGTGGACAAGTGGAGGGAGGGAAGGGAGGAGAAGGAGGGGAGGGATGGGAGGGATGGGAGGGATGGGAGGGATGGGAGGGATGGGAGGGATGGGAGGGATGGGAGGGATGGGAGGGATGGGAGGGATGGGAGGGATGGGAGGGATGGGAGGGATGGGAGGGATGGGAGGGATGGGAGGGATGGGAGGGATGGGAGGGATGGGAGGGATGGGAGGGATGGGAGGGATGGGAGGGATGGGAGGGAGGGGAGGGAAGGGCAGGATAGGAGGATGTGGCAGGAGAAGAGGGAGGACGGGCAGGACAGAAAATCTGAGCTAGTTACGAGGGGTTTAGTGGATCAAGGGAGTCGGTCGTTTGAGCCAACTCTTGAGTCAACTAAAAGGTTAGAGGGTCAAGGTAGCCGGTCTTTTCCCGAGTTTCTGAAGCTGCAGCCGTGGGACTTGGATCTCTCTGATTCTGAGCTTTCAGGGCCGGAAGCACCTGGATTTACTCCTGGTGGTGGTGGCGCTGCTGGCACTGCCGCTGCTGCCTCTGCCGCCCGGACTGGCGTTGACTCGTTTGACTTTCTTGGGAAGCCGGTTGTGAAATCGAGAATCGCGCTGCTCAAGGAGAAGAAGAAGAAGGAAGTTGGGTTTGAGACTCCTCAAAAAGAGAAGAAAACGGGGCGGATTGGAAGGCAGAGGTCGCTGGATGCAAGGGGCAGGGGGGGGCTGGGGAGGGGAGGATCCTGGGACTTGGGAGGATGGGATGTGGGAGGAGCACAGAGAGCCGGCGAGTTGCAATTCGACCCGAGTTTTGGCCTTGAGAAAAGTTCTTCACGTGATGGGGGTTACCATCTCAAAAATTTCGAAGAATCAGAGAATTCTGGTCTTGGTCTTGGGAGTTTTGAAAAGTCTCAGAACGTGGGGTTTGGTCTTGAGTGTTGTCGGGAGGCGTCTCTTATGGGGGATGGTGGTGTTTTTGGGCGGGGCGAGAAAGAGGGTCAAGGGGACAGAGGAGTTGGTAAGGGAGGGGAGGGAGGGGAGTGGGGAGAGAGGAGGCAGCGAGATAGGCAGCTAGAGAGACTAGGTCGAAGGGGTTCATTGGAGCTAGGCGGGAGCATGGGGGGAGGAGAGGGTGGGAGCGGCGAAGGTAGGGCAGGTGGGCGGGGGGGGGCAGAGAAGAGGGTGGAAGATTGGCTGTTGAAGTCACAAAGGGTTGACCAGAAGCAGACTGCTGCTGCTGCTGCTGCTGCGGGTGCTGCTGGTGGTGGTGGTGGTGCTGCTGCTGCTGCTGCTGCTGCTGCGGGTGCTGCTGGTGGTGGTGGTGGTCCTGCTGCTGCTGCAGCTGGTGCTGCGGCGGCGGCTGGTAGGAGCAGCAGTGTCAGATGGACAGAGCTTCCTCGGAGTCCCATGAGGAGTCCTCAAACCACTCGTCCCCTTAGTAGCAGATTCGTTAAAAGCTCTTCTGTATCAAGCGCTTCTGTCACAATCCCTTCGTATAATTATATCACTAGTAGCAACATTCCCAAGAGCCCTTCCGCTAGAAGCAGCTTTCCTAAAAGTTTTTCACTTAAGAGCCCGCACTTAAGGAGTCCTAGCGCATTGAGCCCTGGACTTAGCAGTCCGCACTTAAGGAGTCCTGGTGCAATGAGCCCTGGTATTAGCAGCCCAGACTTAAGGAGCCCTAGTGTTTGCAGTCCACACTTAAGAAGCCCTAGCGCAATGAGCCCTAGCGCAAGGAGCCCTGGTATTAGCAGTCCACACTTAAGAAGCCCTAGCGCAATGAGCCCTAGCGCAATGAGCCCTGGTATTAGCAGTCCGCACTTAAGAAGCCCTAGCGCAATCAGCCCTCTTTCCAGGAGCCCTTGTGCAAAGAGCCCCTTGCTTAGAGTAATGCTGAATGCATCTGAGGTATCTGCACCTCATGCTGCTGCTGCCGGTGCTGCCGGTGCTGACGGTGCTGCCAGTGCTGCCGATGCTACTATGTCACCAGCCAGCCCTGCTGAGTTCCTTGGCAGAGCACCCGAGGGGATGAGCACTCGAAAGCGGCTGGGCGGAAGACAGGCGTCTCTAGATCCTAGGAGCCTGGAGATAGGGAAGCAGAGGGTGGTGATGATGAGAGAGGGGGAGAGGAGGAGTGGGGAAGTGGGAGGGAGAGGTGTGGGAGAGGGGGGACGAGGAGGAGAGGAGAGGGGAAGAGGAGGAGAGGTGAGGGAAAGGAGAAGGGAGGAGAGGGGAAGAGTAAGCGAAGTGATTGGTTTGCTGGTGCAAGAGTTGCGGGAACCGAAGCAGCAGCAGCAGCAGCAGCAGAGACAGCAGCAAGTGAAGAGGAAGCAGCAGGGCAAGGAGCAGAGGCAGCAGGAATTAGGGAGGCACCGATCCCTTGATCCATGCGCCTTCAGCAGGGCCTTAGAGGATAGCAGGGAGGCCACAAACGAGGATAGCCAGGAGGTTGCAATAGATGGTATTAAGGAGGCTAAAAACGAGGATATCAGGGTTGGTAGCAAAGCTGTAAGGAAGGAGGAAGCATGGGGAAAAGGTATTTTCCAACTCCCTTCAGACAGTGATTTCTCAGGACCCGATGCTCCTCTTCCTACCGCTGCTGCTGGTCCTGCTGCTGGTGCTGCGGCTGGTGGGGACGGGGCTGGTGGGGGCGGGGCTGGTGGGGACGGGGCTCGTGCAAAGGCTGGTGCTAGAATTTCTTCCTCTCCCACCCGGACTGGCGTTGACTCGTTTGACTTTCTTGGGAAACCGGAGGTGAAATCGAGAGTAGCACTGCTGAAGGAGAAGAAGAAGAAGGAAGTTGGGTTTGAAATTCCTCCAAAAGAGGAGAAGCGGTGGCGGTGGGGCCACATGCACGGTAACACCCTCCTTCGCAAGCAAAGGTCGTTAGACTCTCGAACCAAGGGGGGGTTGCCTTTGCTCGATGCCGCTGCTGCTGTTGGTGCTGCTGCTGGAAAGACCTTCGTTGACTCGTTTGACTTTCTTGAAAGGCCTGTTGTGCCGCAGTCAACGTTAGTCAAGGAGGAGGGATTCGGGCTGGCGATGCAGCGGCATGCTTCCCTGGATTCAAGGAGAGGGTTCCTGGATCTCAGGGAGGATTTGCTGGATTCAGGGGAAGAATCTTTAGATTTCAGGGAAGGGTTGCTGGATGTAAGGAAGTACTCTCCTCTGGATTTCAGCCGGGAATTTCGGAATGCAAGGAACGTTCTGCTGGATACGAGTGAGGATTCTTTGAATCCCAGGGGGAAATTCCTGGATTTCAGGGGGAAATCTATAGATTTCAGGGGGATATCCCTCGATTTGAAGGAAGAGGGGAAGGTTGGCAGGTTGAGGAGGAGGGGTTCGCTTGAAAGTGTGGGAGGCTCTAAGCAAGATGCTTACCTAAACGTTGCTGGTGGGGACAAGTGGGGGGATAGGAGCTTAGGACGAACGGGAGGGGGGCGGAGTTTGGGGAATCGACGGCAGCGCTCGCCGCTGGGGAGGAAGAGGTCGATTGGGGGAGGAGGGATGGACGCTTCTTCTTCTTTTAAGGCGAGCAATGTGGGTGTGGAGTCACAATGCGAGGATAAGGAATGGGAAAGAGAGGGAGGGGGGCGGAGTTTGGGGAATCGACGGCAGCGCTCGCCACTGGGGAGGAGAAGGTCGGTGGGGGGAGGAGGGCTGGACGCTGCTTTGATTGTGCATGACCGGGATGGTGAGGGTCGAAAGGAGGATAAAGAGTGGGGAAAAGAGGGAGGGGGGCAGAGTTTGGGAAATCGACGGCAGCGCTCGCCGCTCGGAAGAAGGAGGTCGATGGGGGGAGGAGTGGGGGGTCTGGGATTGGAAGTTGTTCCTCTGGGGTTGGGAGTAGACGGTGGGGGCAGTGATGCTGGAAAGGAGGGGAAGGAGTGGGGAAGTGTGAGAGAGAAGCGGCATTCGGGTAATCGAAGGCGCTCACCGCTAGGAAGGAGGAGGTCGATGGGGGGAGGAGGGATGGACGCTGCTTCTTTGGGGCTTGGGCTGAACAATGAGGACAATGCGGCTGGACTGGGTGGAAAGGAGTGGGGAGGAGTGGGAGAGAGGAGGCGTTCGGGCACTCGAGGGCGCTCACCGGTGGGGAGGAGGAGGTCGATGGGGAGAGTGGGAGAGGTGGTGGATTATTATTTGGCCCTCAATGAAACGGCTGATGAGGGTTCAACTGAAGGCGAGAGGCAGGGTGGTTCGAGAAAAGGCTCTCAGCTGGGGAGGAGGAGGTCGATGGGGGGAGTGGGGGGAGTGGGGGGAGTGGGGGGAGTGGGGGAAGTGGGGGGAGTGGGGGAAGTGGTGGATTATTTATCGGCCCTCAATGAAAAGGCTGAGGGGGCAAGATCAGGCAAGACGCAGGGTCGTTCGAGGCAAAAGTCGATGCTGGAAAGAAGCAGGTCGATGGGGGGGGTGGGGCCCTCACTTGACTGTTGTTTATCCACTTCAGCCGAACAGGCTGAGCCTGAAGGTTCGAGAACAGGTGAGAGGCCGGGTGGATTTAGAAGGAAGTCTCCTCTGGGAAGGAGGAGGTCACTGGGAGGAGTGGGGGCGGGGGATGACCTTTTATCCAGTCCGAGTGATGAGACTGAGGGCTTAAGATCAGGCGAGAGGCAGGGTGGATTTAGAAGGAGGTCTCCTCTGGGGAGGAGGAGGTCACTGGGAGGAGTGGGGGGGATGGTAGACCTTTTATCCACTGTGAATGATGAGACTGAGGGTTTAAGATCGGGCGAGAGGCAAGGCTGCTCGAAAAGGCATTATCAGCTAGGGAGGAGGAGGTCGATGGGGGGAGTGGGGGAGGTGGTAGATTATTTATCAGCTGTGAGTGGGTGGGCTGAGGAGGGTACAGGAGAGAGCGAGAGGCAGAGCGGTTCGAGAAGGAAGTCTCCTCTCAGAAGGAGGAGGTCGATGGGGGGGATGGGGGTGGCGGAAATGGCTTACCATTTGCCAGCTTTGGGGGGAGCGGGCGTTGAGGTTGAGGGTACAGGAACGGGCGAGAGGCAGGGGGGTTCGAGAAGAAAGTCTCCTCTCAGGAGGAGGCGGTCACTGGGGGGGGGGGATGGTTGATCATTTATTGGCTTTAAACCAGACGCCTGAGGAGGGTACAGGAACGAGCGAAAGGCAGGGTGGTTCAAGAAGTAAGTCTCCTCTGGGGAGGAGGAGGTCGATGGGGGGGAGAGCGAGTGCTGCTTTCGTTTCTGCTGCTGAAGCAAAAGCAGAAATGGCAACTGATTCAGAAGCAGAATCAGGAGCAGGAGCAGGTAACATGCACGAGGAGAGAGGGACGGAAGCCAAGAGGTTCCATTGCCCCCCCTTCAACTCCCCCTCGCTCAGGTTTTCTACTCTAAACCTTTCCCCAGAGCTCGAATCGGTAGGTTCCCCAGTCTGGGGCAATCCCAGCGGGGATTCCAGGAGAGATCCTTATAGCGAGGCTACTGGAGGGGCTTATAACGAGGCTACTGGTGGGGCTTATAACGAGGCTACTGGTGGGGCTTATAACGAGGCTACTGAAGGGGGAGTGCGTCGGACGAAGTTGTTTGTAGACTCGTCCCGCCGACGTTCAGGGGAATGCTTTGAGTATGGCTCTGTGGATTCTCCGGTTTGGGGCACCGTCAGGGGGGATCGTGGGGGGGAAGGACATGAGGAAGCTTATAGGCCGGAAGAGCATCGAGGGGTCTGCAGAGAGGTATGCGGTGAGGAGTGCAGGTCGAGGTGCGAAGAGGTGTGCAGAGCGGTGCATGGCGGTGTTGCTAGTGGTGTTAGGGCTGTTTTGGATTCACATGACTCAGAATCGGCCGACTCGCCTGTGTGGGAAACAGTGAGTGGTGGACGGAGAGTGGGAAGACGAGAAGGAGGAGGAAGCGGAGGCGGGCTTACTTTGAATGTTCTTAAAAGTAATGCAGATGTTGCGGCGGGTGGCAGGGGGCCGAGATGGCCTGTTATGGATTCACATGACTCAGAATCGGCCGATTCGCCTGTGTGGGGGACGGTGAGTGGCGGAAGGAGAGGGGGAAGACAAGAAGGAGGAGGAAGCGGAGGCAGGCTTACAGCAGATGCTGCTACTTTTGAGGCGTCTCGAACGAGCGGTGACGGGAAAGGGGGAATGAGAGGAGGAGGTGGAGGCGGGGTTACAGCAGATGCTGATGCAGTGCGCAACAGGGGAATGCGATGGCCTGTTTTGGATACGCACGAGTCAGAAACGGCCGATTCACCTGTGTGGGGGACAGTGAGTGGAGGAAGGAGAGGGGGGAGGACGGGTGAGAAAGGAGATGGTTTTACAGCAGATGCAGTGGGGAATGGCAGGATAGGGGGAGCGACGGGTGAGAGAGGAGATGGTTTTACATCAGATGTCGTGGGGGACGCCAGGAGAGGGGGAGGAGTAACGTCTGAAGCTGCAACTGCTGATGCAGCACCTGATGAAACACCTGATCATACATCTGTTCTAGCACCTGATGCTCCTGATGCTGCTGCACCTGATGCTCCTGATGCTGCTGCACCTGTTGCTGCACCTGAAGCTTCAGCCTCTGCTACCATGGTCGCTGTGAGTTGCTTCGATAGGGTTGGTGGGGAGACAGCGGGGGAGGATGGAAGGTGCGTGCGCGATGGGAGGGTGGAGGGAGGAGATGAGGGAGGAGGGGAGGGGTGCGGGGATGGAGGAGAGGAGGGAGGAAGGGAGGAAGGAGGAGAGATGAACACTGAAGCGACTACTGAGGAGGTGAAGGAGATGAACACTGAAGCGACTACTGAGGAGGTGAAGGAAATGAACACTGAAGCGACTACTGAGGAGGTGAAGGAGATGATTCAAATGATGGAGATAGCTGCTGCAGCAGCCAGAGAAATGCGATTATATCCTGCTGCTTGTGCACTCTGGACTGTTCAACTATCCACTGCTACAACCGCTGCCGCTGCTACAACCGCTGCTACAACCGCTGCTACAACCGCTGCTACAGCCGCTGCTACAACCGCTGCTACAGCCGCTGCTACAGCCAGTGCTGCTACAACCACTGCTACAACCGCTGCTACAACTGCTGCCACTGGCCATCGTTCTTCTCCCCACCATCCTCCTCTTCCTCATCCTCGTGATTCTCATCAGCACCCTGTTTCCCCCGATCCTTCCAAAAAACTCTCCTCCCATCCTCCATCCCCCCCACCGCACTCCTTCCCCCCTTTGTCCCCCGCCTCCCGTGCTCTCTCCCATCCATCTCCTCCATCCCATCCCCCTCAGCCCTCCAACCCCTCCCCTCCCTCCCATCCCCCTTCTCTCTTCCGAACACTCTCCACCTCTTTCCTCCCCTTCAGACCACCCTCCCTCATCCGAACCCTCTCCTCCTCCTTTTCCTCCTCACCCTCCTCCTCCTCCGAACCTGTAATTCAAGGCTCTCGCTCTGCGTCTTTCCCCGGTCCTGCGAGTCCCCCTCTCTCCTCTCACTCTCCTGTGCCTTCTGCTCCCCCTCCGTTGCCCTCTGAGGCTCCTGCAGTACCGTCTTCCTCTGGAAGAAGGAACAGCAACAGCAACGGCAGCAGCACCAGTAGCAGCAGCAGCAGCACCAGTAGCAGCAGCACCAGCACCAGCACCAGCACCAGCAACAGCAGAAGCAGAAGCATTGGCAGCAGCAGCAGCAGCAGTGGCAGAAGTAGAGCTAGAACACGGAGCAACACCAACACTGCTAGCAGCACCATCTCTTCTATCACCGCCTCTTCTAACAAACCCGCTTCTAAAAACACCACTAGCAGCAACCGAATCCGTCGAACCTTCTCCTCCTTTTCCTTCCTTACTCAGCACCCCTCGCCCTTCCTTCCTCCTCTTCTTCCTGTTCCGTTTTCTTCATTCCCATCTGCCACAACTCCTTCCAATCCTTCTGAAACCACCGCTACTGATGTTCCCACTACTACTACTGTAGATGCCATCCCTGCAGCCACTACTTTTGAAAAGAACAGCTCGCTTAGAGCATCTGATGATGCTACCGCTGCCGCTGCAGCAACAGGTGCTGCTGCTGCTGCAACGGCTGCTATCATAGCCGCTTCTGCTACTACAGCTGCTGCAACAGCCACTGCTACAACCACTGCTGCTGCTACAGCCAGCGCTGCTGCTACAGCCGGCGCCAGTCCCTTGCATCGTAGCTTCTCCCTCTCTGCTTCCTTTGCAACCCGCCGCCGTACCACTTCTAACTCCTCTTTATCGCTCTTCACCTCTCACCTTCCTTCATCCACTGCTATCTCCTCCTCCTCCTCCTCCTCCTCCTCCTCCTCCTCCTCGTCCTCCTCCTCCTCCTCCTCCTCCTCCTCCTCCTCCTCCTCCTCCTCCTCCTCCTCCTCCTCCTCCTCCTCCTCCTCCTCCTCCTCCTCCTCACTTCTCCATTCCCGCTCTATCCGACGGCAATCAGAGAGTTACAAGGAGCGTGCCGCTGTATCCACACACCTACCTACTGTCTACCCATCCTCTTTATTACCATCCTCATCCCGGCGTGCGTCTATTGATATGCCTGAGCTGGGTGCATCCCTCATAAGATTGCCGAATCTTTCCTCCTTGCTCCGCCAATGGAAAGAAGGCAAAGAGGGAAGTGTTTTGAGCAGTGATAAGGAGGGTGATTTGTAAGGACGAAGACGCCCCAAGAAGCAACCCCCGTTGCGATGGCTGAAAATGAGTCAAGCTATAGTTGAAACAATTTTGTAAATTATGTGTTGATCTAGAAGGTTTTTAACGAGAAAAAAAAATATAGCAACTCCTTTGCCAGGTTGTGCCTAGTTGTATCGAGCACGCTTCTAAAAATATTTATGTTTTTATCCCATGTACGAGTGGGCTTTCTAATCAACCAAGGTTCTCACACCGTTTGATGCCTATTCCAACCGCTGATTATCACCGTACGTCCTTCTGTGAGGCGATTTTCTAGGCAGCTAACGAATGAAATCTGGCACGAAGCGCAGAACACCAGAGAACGCTTGTAGCCGCTTGTACGAGGCGGTATGATCGTTTTACCTGCATATGCCCCTGGGAAGGTCGCACCGCACATTCCGCTGATTGAATACACTGCATGTACTCGCTACAGTGGTACGCAACGTCACTGTAGCTTAGAATGCAGCACCTTTCCGGCGAGGATATCCTGGTCAGGCAGTCTACAGGAAACTCCTTATCCGAAATCCAGCAAATCCGTCCAACCAATCAGCGCTAGCCGCTTGTGGAACAGAATCTGTCCTCTCAGTGACACCAGGTGGGGCCTGAAGAGTGACATCATCGCTGACGTCAGATCAGGGTCACCGGCTCGGCGGAGAAATGTGACCGTTGCTGCGAGGAAGCGGCGCGTCGTAGCAGTCGAGAGTCAAGGCCGCGGTAACGCGGACGGAAATGTGCTTCCAGCGAGATGTGACTGTCCGTGGTGCTTCCCCCCTGCTGTTGTTGCTGCTGCCTTTTCTGTCACAGATTCAAAGAGCAGGAAGCTTATTGTAGCAACAGCGGCGGGAGGTCCTGCGAGACGAACGCGGGGAATAGAAGGTGACGGAGATTCGAGAGCGCGAGCACAAAGGGGCGCTGGTGCTGGGAGGGGTGGTGGGGGGGAAACCGAAGAAGGACGCGAGGAGGTGGAGGGAGGAGTGGGAAATGGTCGAGAGGGGTTTGGAGGCGCGGAGGTGAAAGCAGAGACGGAGGGCGAGAGGGCGGAGGCAGCGAGTGAGGGGGTAGTGGGGGAGTCGAGAAAGGGGGCCTCAAGGGAGTCTCCAGCTTCTCCTGCTGTGGAGCTCGCTGTTCGAATCCTCAAGTGCTACAAACGTGAGTTGTGAGGGGCCGAGTGTGACTGTAAGGAGGAGGAAAGGTGGCTGGATGTGCGTTCTGTGGCAACTTGTGAGGCACCTCAAAAACCTTCTCCTGCTGTGGAGCTGGCTGTTAGAATTCTCAAGTGCTACAAACGTGGGTTGTTGTGAGTGGACGACTTTTGAGGCGCCTCGAGAGTTGAGTGAGAGGAGGGAGAGGGCTTCGGCTTCTGACGAGTCTCAACCTTTGAGTCCTGCTTTTGAGTCGACTCAGAAAGGCTTCAGAAGAGACTCCCGCTTCTCCTGCTGTGGAGCTGGCTCTTCGAATTCTGAAGTGCTACAAACGTGGGCTGTGAGGGCCGACCGAGCGTGACTGTAAGGGGGAGAAAAGGTGGTCAATGTGATTGTAGGTCACGTTTTTTCCCCCTGACTCGCAGCCACCTGTCAGTTGGTCCCCACATGCTACAAGTAATTACCCAGTTATGATCGTCCCCTCACTCCCTCTCTCCCCACAGAGAAGTATCAGTCATGATCTTCCACTCACTCCACTCCACTCCACTCCACTCCACCCCCACTGTCACTCTCACCCTTGCAGGGGTGATTTCCCGCTGGATCCCAGCCTCATGCTGCTTTCTCCCCGCATCCAGCGAGTATTCAGTGAACATCGTCCCTCACTTCCTCTCTCCCTACTTTCACCCCTCCCCTGGATCCCAGGCTCATGCTGCTTCGTCTCTGCATCCAGCGAGTATCAGTCATGTCCTCAACTCACTCACTCACTCACACGTTCCACTCCACCCCTACTCCCACCCCTGCAGGGGAGATTTCCCTCTGGATCCCAGCTTCCTGTCGCTTCATCCCCACTTGCAGCGAGTATTCAGTCATGGCACTACGCAAATACGGCCTTCTGAGAGGCGGGATTCTCACTGCATGGAGATTGTTGCGCTGTAACCCTTTCGGTGAGGAAATTGTACCCCTTTTTTTTTGTGGTTGGTAAGGGATTACTCGTTGTTATTTTTGGTGGTGTCCAGCTGCACGTTCACTGTAGATGTTTCATGGGTTTCTCCTATTTGCTTGTTTGGTATTGGATGGAATTCTGTTAGCAGGTCCATCAGGTTATGACCCTCCACGGTGGTTTGGGGAGCCGCCCCCTCCTTCCATATAACTTAGTCTATCAAGCCATGCTGCACAGCTCTACGTGCTATTGATGGCGTCTGCTTGATTTTCATGTCTGTGTAGCAATGGTTATTTAATTCCATATACGGCTGTCTTCATTTGTACACATTCTTTTATCAAAGCTTTGTTCACTGGCTTCAGCCACTCAGTACCGACAATCACTGTAGACACGTATGGTTCCTCGCAACAATTTGAGACTGGTCAGCTCAGCCGTACAGCTTGCAGCTGAAACGGGCGCAACTGCTATACCGTTTCAGCAGCAGCAGCACTCTCCTGCCGTTACAGGTACACCACATGTTGAATTGCAAGCGCTGCCATAGGCCAGTGGGCGCACACCTGGTCCCTCTCGCCTGCGTCACTAGTGGCCTGACCGAGTGACGACGGACCAAGCCCGTCAGTCCGAACCTGAACCGAACTTCACCACAAACCTTGCGGCTCTTGTAACAACTGGTTTCAGTTTCGCCAGCGCGGGAGTCTGCCAACCCGGAATTTACCTTCTACAGCTCTAGCTTCATCCCGAACCTCCACGTTCGAGCCAATGTCGATCGGGCTGTAAGTTGTAACCGAGGCTCGGCTGGGTTGTTACTGGTTTGGACCATTGAGTGTGGCTCGGTGAAGGCTGTCAGGTGCGAACAGAAAATGTCTAGGCGGGAATCTCGGCAATCCACCATGGCCGAGAACAAGAATTCGGACCACCTTCGCTGCAGCAAGGATTGTTTGGCAGGAGCAGCAGTAACAGAAGCTGATTCTCGGCCATGGCTAGTATGCGTGGAGGATACTGAAATCAGCTGCATTACCACAGGACAACCCGCACACTCTCGCGATAACACACAGTTCCTTCCATTTACACGCTTCTTTTTTCAATCGTACTTGGTGAATTTCGTGACGTTTTCATTCCCCTCGTCAGGATCGTGTGCCGCTATGAACGGAGAAACGGCCTCCGAATTTGCAGAACTGCATGACTATCACGCTCTAGCGCGTCGAATGGAACGCGGGGAGATGAAAAGCAGGGGAATTCCGCTAGGGAGGAAACGGCATTCGCGGAACCAAGGTCTCCGCGGAGCTGCCCTGCGCATGCTCGCTTGCGCGGCTCCTCCGCCGACGAATGGCTTCACAAGTGATAACAGCGGGAGTGATTTTAGCGACGATGAGGCAAACCACGAGCGCCGGATCCAGGCTTCGTACGCAGCTGGCGGAGATGAGACGGGGGGACGCCGCTTTCCGCAGCCCGATCAGATTTCCAACGGAACTCTCCGAACCGGTTTAAACCCGAAGCATTGGACCCTCAGTCTATCGTCTCCTCTCCTTCGTCCTACTCCTCCTCCAAAGACCTCTCGAGGTTATCGGATCATACCGACGAAGATCATGAATGCGGAACCATCCCAACGGTCAGAACAAGCCCACGGCGAATCAGATCAGAGAAAAGCTCACACGGGTCGGGGAACGGTCGCAATTCCTCCCTGCATGACCGCTCCTCCTGTGCTCTCCCGGCCGAGCTCTGCTGCTGCTGAAGATCAAGTGAATCCAAGGACTCTCAATGGTCCAGAATCCTCCACCCTTCCATTACCAAGGGAGATGGACCTGAATGTCAAGAGGTGTTTGAGTGCTACGCCTCTTGAAGCACCTGGAACATTGTCTCATCTTGCGCCGGTGTCCCTCTGCTCCCCACAGTCCACCCTCGCATCGTCGTTCTCGCCGAAACCGTTGCCTGGGGTTACCTCTCCTTGTTCCCAGTCTGGCTTTGCTCCATCCGTCAGCTCTTCAGGCCTGTGTGACTCTTATGTCACCCCTGATACAGGCACATTCCCCGGCGCATTATCTCCTGATGCCGTTGCAGTTTCCCTTCGCAAGAGTAAAGTGCTTAGCCCATCATCCTGCTCGTATCGTGTGGAAAGAACCTTGGAGCAGCTGCAGGTCGTTCACCTGAGGAATGATGATCATGGCATGGCGGTGGTTGAAGGTGCCCGTTTCACTGACAACGCTGAGCAAGAGGATTCAAGCGGTGACGAGGGGGGTTGCTGTGACTTGAATTGTGGAAAGAAGGGGAATGTGAAAGTGAATGGGTTGAGTGAGGAAGAGAGGCTAAGGGCAGGGGTTTTTTTATCAGAGTAAATAACTCTGTTTCTCTGAAAATCAGAGTGGTTTTTAGGGGGTCACTCTGACGTGTCTGGGTAAGTTTTTTGGAGGATAAGTTTTCTCTGATTTGTCAGGGTTCTGATTTTAGCTACTCTGAGAGACCAGTGTATATTTGTGGCGGATGTACTTTTCTCTGTACAGGGTATAGGCATTTCGACCGACCCTCCCTCCCCCCCCCGCGCCCCCCAATTGGTGGGTTAAGCAGAATATATCCTAACGATGACCGCGTAGCACAACGCTTACCATAGTTTTTTGGTAGGAGTGCAGAAGGCCTGGGTTCAATACTTGAGAGGGCACTCAGAGTTGGAAAAATAGGTACACTGGGTGCCCAGAGTAATTTTTTCAGAAGTGAAGTTTTCTCTGACAAATCAGAGTAACGCTCATAATGAACCCTGAATTTCAGAGTTCCCTAGAAAACAGCTCTGGAGTAGTGAAAATCCAAAAAAAAGCCC